CAGGCAGCACTGCTCAGTTTCCAGTATGTGAATGCCCTAGGGACTTAGACTTTAAGTTCAACACAAGGGCTCAAGGGGTGGGGAGGTCTGGGAGTGTGCAGAAGCCGCAGTTCCGGTGCAGGGTTAGACACTAGAGGCAGGTGATAGGCATAGCTGTCCTTTGTAAAGCTTTTAAAGAACTCACAATGACACTGTGATCTCATTTATGAACCAGGAAGCCAGGCCTGCCTGCCCACAGTGCCACTTAATGTCAGCAAATAAAATTCAATCAATAAGAAAGTCCCAGAAGCCCTTGATCACTGTGTGGAGGTTGGGGAGCCTGCCTGCTCATTGTGAGAGGCACTTAACCTGCTGTGAACCAGTAGCAACACAGGGCCCTGCACACAGCTGGCATACTATGTAGGTGACAGGCAGTCGGGGTGGGGTCTTTGGGGATTAGCACTCAGGTGCTGCTGCAGGTGCCCCTTCATCCACTGGATCTTACCGAGCACCAAGTGTGGATGGTCCTGGGCCAAGCAGATATGAATGGGACAGGTGAGACTGAGTGCTCACCCATGCCACAAAGGGCTGTGGCTAAGGATTAGTCTGCCCAAAGCTTTTGGAGAGTTTCTGAAATACTGGAATTTATACCTACAATTTCAAAGAGAACAATGAAAAGGAGGCACTACCATGTGCACTCCTGCATCTGCAGGGCATGAGCCTGTCATCCTCATAGGTCTAAAGGAAAATGCCTGGGTTGACCCTGGTAGACCGAGACAAGTGGGCAGAGATGGTCCTGATGAGTGTGCTGGCTCCTGGCACATGTGTGCACACACACACATCACCACATGCACACATGCAGCAGCATGTACAGTATCCTGGGCAGGGTAGGTGGTGTGTAGTGAGCCCCTTACAAAGCAGGAGAAAGGGGTTACTGCCTAAAACTCTTGCCTACCAGGCTCAGGGTGGGTATCCAATGCTTTTTGGCTTCACGCTTTGCACAGAAATGGTGTCCTCAATGGTAGAACAGAGATCCTCACTTAGTCCAGCTCAGGAGATCCCCCAAGGCTGCCTTGAGGGCTGGAGTGAAGGACACATGTAAATACTAGTAGAGGACCTTATAATGCACTTATTAGCCTATATAGATGGCATGAGGGGAGACAATTCAATCAATGAGGGCTTTAATAAAGAGCCTGGCTTTTTCACTTAACTGCACGAAGAAAAGCATTTTTGCAAATCTTTTCTTGTAAGAACTAACTCTTCATTTTGTAGGGGCAGTTGCCAGCAGGCTGGGTAAGACTCTGTGGAGCACAGCTTAAGTGTCTATGCCTGGACGGAAGGTACTAGAGGCTGGGGACCTGTGGCCAGTGGGAAGTAGACTGCCTGGTTCTAGGAATGCAGGTTCCAAGTACTAAGGAGGAGGCCAAGGGTTGCTCAGATGAATAAGAAACCTGGTCCAAGAATCATTAGGACCAAGGCTGGGCCAAATCCAAGGAAGCCAGAGGGTTCTGCACCTACCCTGGTACATCCCCCAGCTCCACCACACCACCTCCCACCTAGCTAGCCTCCCAGCTAGAGTGAGTGATCCTCTCCAAGTGTACCATTTCCAGAACTCTCCTCTGTCACTTTAAACACTGTCTGCTGTTCAGCTAAACAATAAGGTGCAGTGGGACTAGATGGTCACATTTTTGGAACCACAAGAGATTCCTGTGTCATAAATGTAGCCATCCCTGTGCCTGAAGGGAACATTGTACTCCACACCTTATGGAGAAAAATAAAACTCAACTCTGTGCTAAAATGTGCTGTCTCATAAACAGGAATGTGACCAGCAGAGGCCCAACACCAGGTGAGGACAAGCAGACAGAGGTGACCCGAGGACCTGTTCTGAGACACAATGAATTGGGGAAGAGGGCAGAGCTGAAGTGGTATGTGTAACCAAGACAATATTCACAGGAAGTTAGAAACAGATTCCATGGGGGAGAGTTGGCACAGCTGCAATGAAACTTAGGGAGACCTGCAGCCCAACCAGGAGACACATGTGGCTATAGGAGCCTGGCTCTGCAATGGTCAAGCTGTTCTCTTCTGGGGTCACCTGTGCAGGAGCAAACAGGGATCTCTGTCAACAGCTACTGAGCAAGGCCTGGCTCCACACTTATCTCCTCTGCCCAGATCATGGTTGGTCTGTCTCATTGCCCAGTACACTGGAGAATCTTAATGAGCAGGACATGTCTCTCTTATCCCAAGACCCCATATCTGGCCAATGGTGGATATCAAGTTAGGTGATGGCAAGGATGGCTAGACCCCGTCCTCTCTGAACCACCTACCTCAGTCCCTTAAGGCCGCTGTAACAAAAAGCCAGAGTACATAACTTAAGTACTAGGAACTGACCACTCCCAGTTCTGGAGGCTGGAGTGTAATTTGAAGGTGCTAGGATATCAGGTGTCTGGCAAGGGCCTCTCGTAGTGAGCAGGTGGCAGACCCTGCTAAGTGCCCAGCCCTTGTCTTTTCCTCACCTAAACATATCACCTCCCTAAAGCCTAACCTCTGACATCAACATAATGGAGGTTAGGACTTCAACAGGTGACCTGGAGCGGGGACAAAGTTGCAGTCTATAACATGGCTGCCATAGAGACAGGATACAGGTTTAACATCCCACTTCTCAGGGGTCTGACAGTGATAGAGCCCAATGCAGCACTGCTTTGGGGCAATTCTTGACCTCACATCTCCACAAGAGCCTCTGAGCAGGACTCCTGAATCCCTGCTCTTGTAAGGGTACTGCTGCACCCTCAGAGATCTGTCTGCTTAAACAGCTCCATGGATTATCTCCTCTGCCCAGGTCACAGTGCTTAGGATTACCTAAGTACCAACACTGAAGACTTGAGAACCCTGTACCCCACTTCTAGGACAGTGTGGTGGAACACTGAGGCTGCTGGTCAAACAGGTGCCTGCCCAGGCCCTGCCCTTGACACATTGCCCATCCTTCATGGACTCATGCTGAGCCAGGCCACTGGCCCATCTAATGCAGACACTCATACTCAGAACCCCCATCCTGCACTCCCTCCAGGCTCATTTATATGCCAGGACAAGCCCTATGCTGGGTAGGGCCTGTAGTACCTGATCACAAACAATGGCCTCCCAAAGCAGCTAGGTGCTCCCACATATGTCACAGAGATAGACCCCGTTTTGCTCCTCCACCCATGGGACAAGAACTGCGGTGTCTCATCTTCTCATACTCTGCCATGGACAATGGCTTGTTGCATGGAACGATGCATCCTCACAGGTGGCCCTCACAAGGGCATGTCTGCTGCTCTACCCAACAGGCATTGCAGGCTACCTCAGACAGAGGGTACCTGCCTCAGGCTAGCTGCTAGCCAGGATGATCTTCCCTGGCACTTGCAGAAGGCCAGGCAGTCCAGGCACAATGGGCCCCAACACTCAGTAGACACTTAACTCACAGACCAAAGAGCCTTACAGAATACGTACCTGTCCAACAGGTGAGCAGGTGCCTGCTTCCATGTTCCACCTGGCACGCCAGGAGCACAAGCTGCTTGTCCTGTATGAAGAAAGCTGCACTAAGTCCCAACCTCCCATCACATTCAGAGCCTCCTTCTTTGGTTTTGTGTGGCTACTGGCCAGGTACAACACTCAACTAGCTAAACAGAGAGGTCATACTGGGAACAGAGACTCCTCAAGACCCCAGAGGGTGGAGAGTGGCCACCTTCATCCTACTACTCCCTAGTACCCCTTGGTTTTGCTGTTATCCCAACCTTTGGGAAGCTGGTGTCAGCACTGATAAATGACTCTCAGGAAGTGGCCTGCAGCATCTTCAATGGCAATATGGCAGGTCCGTAAGTGCACAGGAAGTCTCTGGGGGGAGACATGTCATCATAGGATGGGGACCTTCCACCATGAGCAACAAAGGAGCACATGCACATCAGGTCCCCATTGCTGGGAGGCACCCAAAGATGAGCACAGGGTTGGATTGTACTAATGGGAAAGAAACAGCCAGAGGACCCAAGAGCACTGCATGCAGCACCTGCCAGTACGGGCTGGGATTTACCTTTAGGACCAGTGAAAGACCTGGGCAACTCAACTGGGCTCCCAGGTATGAAGGGGAAGCATTTAAATAAGGCCAGGGGTGGGGCGAGAGGGGGTTCCTCACTCTGCTCCAGAGAAGTCAGACTTCCCAAAAGCCTTGAAAGCCCTGCAAAGGGGAAGGGGAGACAGGGTTCCACCAACCGTCTCAGCATCAGGCACAGTGGAACCACAAAATTGGGGAAAAGTCTCTGAAATTAATATTCTGTGTACCTAGAGCTTCTAAGAAGCTGGTTACACGTGAAGGACAAACATGTTCAGAGAGCACAGAAGACTCTACGAGGAATTCAGAAGGTAGTTGAGATGGGAGAGCTTGTTGGGCACCTGGGCCCAGATGGGAGGTAGCTCTGGGCCTCCGCAGTACACACGCACCTGACGCTGTTGTACAGTGCAGTCTAGACACCCATTCCATGGCAAGCTGCCAAGAAAGCTGCCAAAGGTTCTGTGGAGGCAGAGGTTGCAGGGTCCAGATCCTACTCCTGGAAAGAACCCCAGTGGGACACAAGGGATCCAGCTAGAAGGGTTGGCACTGCAAGGAGGGGTGCTCTGAGGCCAGTCATCATTTCCTTCGGTCAGGACACAACCCAGTCAAAACAGAAACAGGTCGTGAGGGAAAGAGCTGGTTTTTAGACAGAAAATCTTATGGGCATAAACCATCTACAAGGAACCTGGCAGGATTGGCCAGAGCCCCAGCAGTCCCACCTCACCCCGGGGGACACATTACCATAGGTACATCTGTCAGTGCTGCCATCAATGCGACTCTTGACCTTTGACCTCCTGCAGCATCTCAAGCAGCTGCATGTTTCTGTTGAGAGCCAGAAAGGACACAAAGCACAGTGTGTGGGTATCACCCCAGACATGGGAAGAAAATGGTACGACAGCAGCATGGCCAGAAGCAGCAGAGCCCAAAGAATCAGCACAGAACCTTTCAAATCTGATTTTTATAGTCTTCACACATGCCTTTAGAGCAGGAAACACACACAGCCACTAGTGCTACAGAGGCAATGACTATGGCCTCAGGGTTTGGACAGATGTAAAATGCAAACCATTCTCTAAGTCCCCTGGGTTCTCACAGGATCCTGGGAGCAAAGGTCTTGATGCAATAACTAGCAAACATTGGAATGAAAACTATGTGCTGATTCAGCTGCCATGACTTGAATCTGAGAGGGAGTGGAATTCAGGGGGAAGCAGTGAAAGAACGTAGAAAAATATACCTATTTCATGTATTCAGAGGTGCTAAAGATCAGGGACAAAGGGCCTTCTGGAATCACATGTATAGGCAGCCATGCTGCCTAAAACAGGAAGTTACCCATCAGCTAGAGTTTGGGGAAATCACTGGCCGCATCCTTCTACAATGGCCTTTGTGAAACCAACCCATGCGGACATGCCTTCCCTGGAGTACCACTAACCTGCTAACAGCTGAGGATAAAAGCTCTAACACTCCTGGAGCAAACAGCAGTTTTACCATGCTCAGCGCAAACCTAGGACTAATTTCTGAACACCACATCAAGTTTGTTCCACAAAAAGGCTGTACCCATGAAATTGGACTATTGACTATGGACTCTGTGTGGCCTTTGAACCAAAGGCTAAAAATAACTGTGTCCATCATTTCTAGGAACGAGAATTCAGCCAGGGAGCTCTAATTTTGTACAGGAAGCCACCTCACCTCAGTGCAGTGTGGCATAGGCCTGAGCTATGAGGCCTGTTGGCCACAAGGCCACAGGGGATGCTACGGTCTATTTAGGACCATAGCTGAAGTAGGCACCTGAAAGATGGTGATGTGTTCGTTGTCTGTGCAGCCATGAGTGAGCTACATTAGCATTGGAGGTGATGAATTGAGTCACAGTCATAGTTATTAGCAACCTGCACTAATGTACCAAGCTCAGGGTCCACCCCACACAGCGATGTCCACCTAACCAGCCCGTCAACCCTTCTGGAACTTGCATTGTGTCTTCTCTGGGGTGCATATGCCCTGCCCTTGACACACATAGCCCAGCCTGGCCCCAGCTACAGCTACAGATTTGTGAGTCTCCTTGCAGGTCTCCTCCCATTTAGGTCATGTGGCCAGGGATACAAAAAACCTTGGTCAGCTGAGGCATGTAGGGCCAGGCCCTCCTGAGTAACACAGCAGCTGGTAAGAGCTCTGGCTGTTTGAGCATATGCCCAACCTAGGGAGCCCAAAGCTACAGGGTATCATCAGTGATCTCCTGCTGTAGATGAGCAGGGCAAAGGGGAGTGGCTTGGGGCTGTTCCCCCAGCAGGGCACTCCTGGAGGGCCTCAATTTTGACCACAGCTCTCAAAGCAACCTGCTGCTGCTTTAGCTGCCACTGTCGCCTGAATGCAAAGTGTAGCTGGTGCAGCTGCCCCACCTGCTGCACAGTGAAACAGGGCTGCCGTTCAGCGAAGTGCACAATAGCCTCAAAGGATGCTGCTGCCTGCTCCCAGGCTACCTCGTCATCCTCTTCAGTGCCTTGCTTCCCTTCTCCTGCATGATCATCTGCCTGTGCTAGTGACATGGCAGTGTGTGTCTCACCCATCTCCCTCCCAGCTGTGCCCTGCTCCCCTGGACCAATGTTCTGAAGCTGGCTGCCTGGGCAGGAGGGGCCCTCTTTCACCAGCTCAAGGATGTGGGCTAAAGTCTTATGGTGAGGTTTAGCGGTGCAGTGCCTTGCGGCCACTTCCTCTTCCTCCTCTTCAGATGAGCCTTCATTGAAGGCGCCTGCAGGCCACAGCTTCCTCCAGGCCTGTCTGAAGACCTGGCTGGGCACAGCATTCCAGGCACAGGCCACGTTGAAAATGGTATTGTTCATGCTGTAGCGGGAATGGAAGCCCTGCAGGGCAATGGGAGGACTAATGAAGTGCCTCATGAAGTCTCTTCGAATACCTTGCTCCATGGGCTGAATTAAGGAGGTCACGCTGGCAGGCAGGAAGATGGTAAAAATGTTATCAGACACCAAATCAGACTCCTGTGGGTGGGCCCTGGAGTTGTCCAGCAAGAGAATAGCCTTACTGTCTTCCGGCAAACCTATGGTTCTGAAGTGTTCTCGCACCGAGGGCACAAAGATGTGATGGAACCAATCTGAGAAAATTTCCTTGTCTATCCAGGCATTGCCCTGGGCCTTATAGGCAACAGGCAGGTGCTGAATGCCTCTGAAAGCCCTGGGGTCACCACACTTCCCGACGGCCAAGGGTTTGATTCTGTGGGAGCCCGTGGCATTGGCACACATTAGGACAGTCAGTCTGTCCTTGCCCTGTTTGAGGCTGGGCAGGGCCTCACCATCTGTCTTGGAATTTGGCAAGCACCGCCAAAAAAGGCCAGTCTCATCGGCACTATAAACCTGTTCAGGGGACAACCCATGCTCAGCAGTCAAGCTTCTAAAAAAGCCACAGAACTGCTCAGCTGCTTGGTGGTCGGCCACCTGCTTCTCATTGGATGCGTCCAGCTTTTTAATGCCATGCCTGGCCTTAAAGCGCCAAAGCCATCCTCCAGAAAATACACAGGGCTCAGTCAGCTGCATCTGCTCATAGAAGTCCTTGGCCTTCTCAATGAGCATGGGACCTGACACAGGAATGCCCTCAGCGCGCTTTACCAGGAACCACTCATAAAGTACCCGATCCAGATGCTCGAGCTTTGGTGTGTGCAGAGTGCGCCGCTGCTCCAGTGCCTGTCTGGAGTCTGAGTTGGCAAAGAACCTGAGCAGCTGGGCCTTGTGAGCCTTAATGTCATACAGAGTGGACATGCCCACATTGTATTCCTGCATCAGTGCCTTCCTGCTCTCCCCTCGCTCCAGGCGTGTGCAGATGTCAATCTTCTCCTTCAAGGTCAGAACCACCCGCTTCCTCTTTTCCCCTCTGCCCTTTACTGCATTCTGCTTGGAAGCCATGGAGGGATGGTGGCCACCCCTGGCACTGCTCCTTCCCTGCCTCAGTCTTTCCCTCTCTGTTCTACCCTTCCTGATCTGCTGATTCGAGGCTCAAGCCCTGTGCCTCATTGGTGCTGCCTTGTACATGCAGCAACCTCTTGCCTCAGCCTTCTCTCAGTGTCTAGGCTCCAGCAAGCTCAGGCGTTAACTCCTAGAAACATGGTGTGTTTGTAGGTCTCTCTGCAGGACAGGTGGCCAATGTTACGCTGCTTGGGATTGCTCCACAAAGCTGGTCCCTTGGTCTTCTCTGCATAGACAGCAGCAGAGCTCCCTCAAATGCTACCAGGGTTCAGGTTAATGGATGTTTTGCAGCATAAGCTGGAAATGCCTCTCCAGGGTCCACAATGTTCTCACTCACAGCCCTTCAGAAACTGGAAAGCAGAGGAAAAAAATGTTATGAGAAGAGGTTACGATATTCCTACCAGGAAGCTTCCCAGGACACAAGAAAGCTGCTTTGTGTGCTGTTTGCTGTTGACTGTCCTGCCATAACCCTTACTTTCTTCATGATGGCTTGCCTCCAGCCCTCTCTGCTTCTCTCAAGGGGTAACCCAGCGATGACAGTGGTAGAGTTCCACAGAAGTGGCAGTGCCAGTGATCTTACCACATGTGCATTCCACCACGTAAATGCATGCAGAATTCAGATGGCCTCTTAGTAGTTCAACTCCTCCTAAGCCTTATCTGGTTGCTTCTTCCAACTCTGAGAAGTCCTGTTACTTATATGTACAGCATAAAATGACCATATCTCAGAAGAAATGAGACATTTATTCACACATAGTTAAGAGCTCCAAAGACACAAGCCAGGCTTGTCACCAGTCAGTCTGGTTGGGGAGGGGTTCCTTTCAGAGTCGGCCTCCTTATCAGAAAGAGTCAATGATCCATGGTCCCTTAGGGCACAAAATTCCATTTACTGACTGGGAAGGGTAGCCTGCATAATGCCTGGCACAGCACACAGTGTGGTATATGCACATCGTTGTGGGGAACAGAAGAGAAATCAAGGCTATAATCCACCTTTGAGGCAGTTCTTAAAATGAATTCCACAGGAATCTGTGAGGCTAACAAGCTTCCTGGAGCCATCTGACACCAGAAATAGGCTCACTACGGACATCTCTTGATACTTGGCGTGCCAATGCATGTCAGGTGACAAGAGATGGCTGAAAACCCTGTCGTTCAGCTTGCAAACTAAATATTTCCTTCAGGAATGAAATTCGGGTACTACTTCTAAAAAAGAATCTCTTAGCAAGTGAGTAACATGGCATAGTAAAAATTCAAGTGGTTTCTAGTCTCGGGGTTTCAAGGGTAACAACACACTGAAACCATGAGACCACTATTTAAAAGTATTTGCCTGTGCCCAAGAAGTAGACTAAAGACCGGGAAAACTAAGGGGAGAGATCTAGGGTAGGACAGAAAAAGGAAAACACTCGACTCCTTTGGGCTCTCTCCTGTGTCAGAGAAAGTAAATTTCCATAGAAAAAGGCCTTGAAGAAATTAGGGAAATGATGTAAATAATGTCCATTGGGAAAGGAGAACATCAGACAGAAAGATGATAAAAAAACAGAATATGAATCTTGGAGTCTGGGCAAAAGGAGTCCTGGGAGAAGGGTGAGGGTCCTTTCTGCCATATAGAAATATTGGGGTGAGCACGCACAGGGCCAGGTCTGGGTGTGAACGGGCAGTGAGTGCTAACGCCCATCCGATTCCTGACAGAGGGAATACAAAAAGGGACGTCGTTTGGTCTCCGTGGGGCTTGTCGTGAAAACGATTCCTTCCTAGAACCACATTGAGGGTGGAAGATCGGTGTTCGACTTGGGAAAACCCGAAAAGAAAACTACACCGGCGAATCCTCATTTGTCATTGGCGCTAGGCCCCCGGGTGACGAGACCCTGGGAAGTTGGCGGCTCGCGCTGGGGTGTCACGGGGCCGGGGCAGGGCCAGAGGATGGGCGTCTCTTGTGAGAGTGCCACAGGCTGTCCGACGCAGAGCATCGGGATCGGGGTCGTGGACAAGGCGGGAAGCGGAGCTCGGCCTGCAAGGCCGCAACCGGCGCGGATGCACCAGCTTGGCCCGCCCGCGGGAAGCATCGCCGCCCCGCCCGCCTGCTTCGCACCGGGTCTCACTCACCTGAGCACGCCGAGCCGCTGCCGTCGGCCGGAAGTGTTGCTCTTCGCCAGTCCGCCCCTCGAGGCCTTACCCTGGTCACTTCCGGGGCGCTCTAGGCAAGACGGAGGACTCGGCCTCGATGGTGTATGGGAGGTGCACCCAGGCTCTGCTTGAGCAAACAGCGGGGTGGGATGTTGCGTGCTGGTGTACACTTTCCTAACGTTGGCGCAGGACTTCCAGAGCCCTGGTGTTGAGAGGAATGGAAATCCTGTGCTGAGTGAGAATCAGTCGTCTGAGAAGGATCGGCGCGAAAGGCTAAGCGTATCCAGGGCTGCCTCCGCCGCATCGGGGTTCTCGACCCCTTTCTGCTATCCCATTCCACTTCATGTTCTTCCCTAACACTGCCGACTTCTCTCTCCTCACCACCTTGCATGTCTCCAGCGGACGTGACCCACTCCTTAGCTGTGTTTGCTCTGTCTGCTGGCCCTGCCCACATGATCTCAGGACTTTAATACTAGGAAAGATGGATGGCTGCCAGATTCCTATCTCCTGCCAGAACACCCCTCTACAATCCAAACTGCCATCTACTCCACACCCTACACCGCTGCCCAACAGCACCGCAGAGACAGGGACCGGAAACAGGTCTCCACTCTCCCGCCCAGCCTTGCCTCATCCACAGTTCTGCTGTCTCGGTCAGCCGCAGCTCAGTCTTCTCACCGTAGCTGGGCCAGAAAACTCCGGGCACCTTTGGCTGTCTTTCCCTCATACCTAATATCCAATCGACCAGAAGCTCTGATGGTCTGTCCATAAAACCTGTCTTATTTACTTCTCCAGCTGCTGGCCCCTGGGCCATACTTCCAGGAGCTGGCAGTTGCCTCTTTCCTGTCCCCTTTTTTTGCCTTTTCTCCATGATCAGCTATCAGTTGTTGCATGCATACCAAACCATTCCAAAATTTACTGCCTTGCAACAAGCATCCTATCCAGCACATGATTCTGTGTACATTAGAGTTAAATGTGTTTGACAGAGGAGGAGATTGAGTTAAGAAGCATAGCAAGGACTTGGTGGGATTAGAATCCAGGACCTCTGGAGGAGCTTCCTCACCAGGGTTCTCAGTGCAAGCTGTTCTCCAAAGGCTGGCCCTATTCTGGGTCTGGCTCTCTGCTGCCGCCCTGTGGACCTGGGCTTGAGTGCACCTCCTGGACCTGGCTAGTGATGGCAGGTATTGAGGCTTGGAGTGGAACAAGGCCTAGGGCAATACTCTGGGAACCTTAGGCTTTCTCTCTTAAGGGTGAAGTTCACTACAACAGTGGGGGAGGGAGTCAGTAAGAGAAAAAGAAGAAAAATATACAGTGGCTTTCTCTGGAGCCTACTACAGAGCTTCCCTTCCTCCCTCCTCATGGCTCTGAGCCATGCCTCAGAGCACAGGATCACATGCCCAGATCAAACCTGGTTCGCTGCAGCGGGCTCCTTGCTGTCCAGATCCTGTGGCCATTCACAGAAGTGGCTTGGGTACAGTGTCTTGACAGATCGCTGCCCTTTCCAAATAAAGCCCAGATCTTCTCAGCCATGAGGCCATGTATGATTGGTCACCAGCAGTCCTCTTCCAAGCCCATGGGCTGACCCTGACATGCAGCTGTGCCCTCTGTCTGGATCCCATTTCCTGGAAAGAAGACCTGAGCCCTGGAAGTGCCCCTTGCTCAGGTTCTGGGTGCCCCAAGTGAGGACTCATCAGCCACCCAACCTTCCATGAGGATCTCAGATAAGTGTCCCAGGCGGAGGGAGTTTGTGAAGCCCACAGCCCACTGGTAGGGAAAGAAAACTGTACTGAAGGCATATGGGGTACCCTTGGCTTACCAACTCCCTCTAGGAGGGAGGAATGGACACGGAAAACGTTGAGACACAGTGGGGATGCAGGTGGGGCTGAGGGCTGGGCTCAGGGATGATGACCAGCATGGGAGGAGGTTTGGGGCAAGGTCACTGATAGTGGTTGTTGAGACCAGGAAAATGTGTCTCTTCTGGATAACAAGGAGGCTTGGGGGAATTAGAGACAGAATGGTGGTAGCTCTCCTGAGATTTAACCCCCCAGTGCACACCCCACCTCCCGCCAAGTGTACAGTGATAAAACCTGCTTGGGATGCCTGACATAAGGCCCTCCAGAAAGGACAGGTGCCTAGAAGTTCCTATTTTGAGCCTTCCAAGACCTGAGCAAGAGGCATTGCCAAGGCCTAGGCCCCTATTATATTTGATACCTTGTGTCAATTTGAGAAGTCTAGAAACTTAACCAAGTAACTCAGCAGCTCTACATCCTGGGATGTAGAGGACCAGTCATTCTAGAATGTTGTTCATTGTGTCAATTTGAGTTCAGGAGTTTATGCTATTCAGCAGGGGACTAGGGTCCTTACTTTGCAAACATCCTCAGCCTGTGCCAGAGGAGGGCACAGAGATGATGAATGCTATACTCACCCAAGGAGTGTAGCCTGCTTACAATGTAAGGGAGAAAAAGTAGGCTTGCTCTTCTCCCCATTTTTCACTCTTGGTGTCTTTGCTGTCTTTTGCTGCCTTGAAGTATTACCTCTGTGCTATGCCACCCTGGCTTGGAGCCAGCTGTGACTGAAACCTCCACAAACTGTGAGCTAAATGAACCTCTCCCTCCTTAATGTTAGGGGTTGGGTATTTTATCTCAGCAATGAGAGAAACATAATTAAGACATCCTTCTTATAGACAAAGGGCTGCAGGTGGAGGGCTCAGTTACATCGTAGTCAGCCCATGGGCTTGGAAGAAGACTGCAGGAGGTCAACCACGTATAGCCTCATGACTGAGAAGACCTGGGCTTTATTTGGGGAGGGCAGTGATCTGCCCAGATAGACACACCCAATATTCATATCACACCCTCACACCCATACACACATAGGTACACCTTCTCATATAGCACACTCACATGTATCATGCACACACAGAGAACTTATAAGACATGGCCTTATGGGGGCCAGCTCTGAGGGTGACCCCAACACCCATGATCTGACTTCACAAGTGTCACACCCTTCACCTGACAGTGCATTTTTCCAAAGGAAAATACACCTGTGTGAGCAGAAGTCACTTGTGCTTTTGCAATGCACATTCTATCTTAATTTTAACTAGCTCTATGTGAAATAAAAAAAATCAGGCAAGTGGTCAAGCATGGGGCTTTGTGGTCTCTCAGCAAGGACTTCCAGAGGTCTACACCCAGGGAACTGAAGATCCTATACTATGTAAACAGGCAGGATCTCCTGGGGTCCATAGGATTTGACTTGCACATTCAGGGTGGTGGGAAGAGGGCCAAGAGAGAACAGGAAAATCGAGTCTCTGGAAGTGCTGCAGTACAGGGCACTAAGGCTAAGGGTGAGTCATGTGCGTGCCACACTTGGAGCCTGTGTACTGCAGAAGGATGCAGGGAGTCACGCCCCTCTCTGACAGACCTTCCCAGGGATCAGGGCCACCAAAGGATCTAGCTAGGGTCAGTTTAGTCTCAGAGGCTACTACATTCAGTGTATGCCTAAAGCATGAGTGACAAGGAATTGGGGTCAGGCTGACCATGGTCAGCACCCAGAGTGTGACCATACCAGGGCCCAGTGTGTGATCAGGACTAGGGCTTAGGATGTGACTGTGACCTTGGCTTATTTGGGGACCAGAGTTAAGAGTTTAGGCTGACCAGAGTGTGGGCCTGGTGTTGGGCCGATGTCAGAGTTCACTTTGTGGTTAGGGTGTGGATGCAGTGAAGTCACAGTTACAATCGTCAATACTTGAGCTGTCACCATTAGGCCATCCCGAGGCCAGCTCCTACCTTTGGTGCTGCTGACGCTGGGCACTGGGGATTCTGTGAGGGCTGCCCTGCGTGATGCAGGGTGCTGAATAGATCCTGGGCCTGTGCCTCCTGCATCCTGTGTTAGCAGGTCCTTGAATTGGGACAATCAAAAATGTCTCCAAGGCTTACCAAGTGAACCTAGGAGGGTGGAACTACCTGTTTAAGAGCCACTGTCTTGAAGTATTGACTTAATATCAAATCTGGTTGGCAAACACATACACACCTGTAAATATTTGGAGAATGAATGTTCAAGCTGATGCCAGGTACCAGGTACCTCCAATGCAAGGACAGATAAGGAAGGGTCCTGTCCCATACAACAAGTCTCAAAGGATTGGGTGTAGGTGGGATGAGAGGCCAAAGAGGTAGCAAGCACACACAGAAATGAGCAAGCCTCAGCAACTGACTCTGGCATTTGTCCTGCCCTGAGCTGGAGGGGAAGTTCAGACAGTTCTGGGAAGGGAGAGAGGGTAAAATGGTATGCTGGGAAGGCTACACTTGCTGTTTGTGACCTTCACTATGGTTCTTCTCTCTCTGGGACACATCCCCTTCATTGCCAAAGAAGAGAGCTTCCTGGGAAAACAGCCCAGCTTGTGGGGTGCTAGGAAGCTGGCAATCCCCAGGGTTGGAGCTGCCTGACTCTGGGTGGAAGCTCACAGGCTGATTGGCAATGCAGAGTGCCAGGGTGGAGGGAGAGGCCTTATGTTACCCTTTACTCCCATCATCTGTGTCATCTCCAGGTGGTGACTCCTGGGAGCTGCTGTGTCTTAGGCCCCAGGATGCATGGACCTCTTGGCCTTCCTGGATTGTCCAGAAGCCTGGGGTGGTAGATTCCTGAGGCTCTCTCTCCCTGCAGCACCCTCACCATTAGAATGCCTCAGGGTCCCTCTCAGGACACATGAAGGAGGAGGAATGTTTAGGAAACCAGCAGGGACAGGAGAATACCAGAGAACCAGGAGGTGTCCCTTAGCCCTGAGCAAGTGGCCAGAGCTCTGACCAGCACTTATATCCACTGGCATTCAGTCATACCGGTCACCAGTGGAGTGTGACAGATGTACATAGAGGAGATCAGGTTGATGCAGAAAAAAAAGGAGCACAAATTGGCCCAAAGTCCACAACAGCAGGGAGCCACTGGTGCCCCTGGGCCTGGCAGCAAAACAGAAGGAACAGTGACTGGAGCATGGCTGTGGAAGGCTGACTGCAGGACCCGGGGGCCTTTCTGGAGGACACAAGCATAGCCACCATAGCTCGGGCATCAGGATGCTGGAGTGGGAGATGACCTGGCCTAGCTTCTTTCTGCTGCAGCCGGGGAGGCCAGGTCAGCCTCCTGGGGCCCTAAGCCAGGTATAGAATAAGTCTAGACAATGAAGCACATCTGCAGTGCCTGGAATCCTGCCTCCTCCTTCCCCTCAGAGGCTGTAGAAAGCTGTACATTTCCCTGATTCCCTTGGAGCTAATGTCCCAGGTTGTGGGGATTAATAAGATCCTGTAGGTAAAGCCTTAGCCTGGAACCCACTGCTCAGAAAGTTGAGCCAGCAGGTGTCTGTCACATTCCTTTGGGCCCACATGTCCCTCCCCAGGGAGGGCACTCCAGGACAACCCCTCCCTGTAACCCTTGCTAGTTGCCAAGGCAGCACACATGGTGTTGTCTGGGGTCCTCTCACTAAAGCCTGGCAGCCAGGAGAGCAGCCCAGCCTTCACACAGAGCACAGAGGCCCCAAGGAGCCCCCAGTTCTCTGCTAAAAGCCTAGATGGGCCTCAAGAAAGTGGTCTCCCTGGTCCAGCCTCAGTGTGTGAGGCAGGAAGTGTAATCAGAGGCCTGAGGACTTGCCAGTCATCACCTTGCCGGGCAAGTGCCCCACCCAAAAGGTAAGACTTGCCCTCTAGAGGCAGAGAAAGGACAAAGGGGGTAGGAGGGGCAGCCTGGGAGGGACGGCTGAATTTGGGATGTGGCCCCAGCAGCCGCTGCTGCTGACTGGCCAGAGTGGCTTCCCCTGTGGGCTACAGCTATATAAAGTCCTGCTGAGCCTGGCTTCCCTGCCAGCGTGTGACCATGAAGACTATCCTTGCCCTCCTGGTCATTGGCTTGGCCCTGCAGTCAGGTAGGCCTTGGCCACTGTGGGGTAGGGCTGGGAAGTGATAAACGAGAGAGACCAGAGGGAAGGAGCCCTGAGGGCCAGACAGAGCAGGAGGTAGAGAGGAAAAAGAGTGCAGAAGAGTGTCTTCCCTGACATGGTACCGTGGGGGAAGCTCCTGACACACCCAGGATGGCTCAACTTGTCCCCTGGTATCCCAATGGACAGGCTTTGGGGTGGCATGAGGCTACTTTCCACTCCTTGGATAGCACTGTCTCCCAAGGGAGAAACAGATGGGCAGGGGGCCTAACAAACAGTCTAGGAGGTCAGGGGCCAAAGGCCTCAAGCTACAAACACCCAGAGGTAAGGAGGGAAAAATGAAATGTCAACCTGAAGGTCACTCTCCAGCCCATCCCTGGCTTCTGCTCCTCTAGCTGGAGCAGTGGCCATCCAGGCTGTGGAGAGAGTGTGGTCTGCTCTGCTCTGCTGTGTAACTGTGGAGAGAGTGTGGTCTGCTCTGCTCTGGTTGGGCCCTCTTGCCAGTGTCCTTGGGCACTTCACTGGCCCTTTCAGAACCTCAGTTTAGTCTTTCGGTCAGTAGAGAGGATTGAGAAAATGGCCCCTGAAACCACTGGAGACCTAAACAGGGAAAGGTTTGTGTGTACTGAAGGCACAGCGAGGGGACACAAAGCATATTTTCCCAAGAGTGACTTGCATCCAGCTTTGTCCTTGTTTTGAAGAGAGGACACTTAATCATGACACCCTGGCAAGTGGGGTCCCCACTGCAGAGACAGTGAGACATGGCCCAGGGGCTCATGCAGCACATAGGAGGTCTGGAAGGAGCTGAGAAGTCAGCTGGGGTTAGGGGACAAGGACGAGTGAGCCCTGGTGGCAGAAGGAAGGGTTTCTCAATTCTCTCTGGTGGTCAGCTGGCCTTTTCAGGTGCTACAGGCAAATCCACCTGAAATTTCTCACTCTTCTCTTCAGGGAGCACAGGCCCCCACTCAAGCCATCGGTCTCTAAGGGGTGGAGGTGGTGTTTCTGCACTGTGGGGAGAGGAAGCCCTGAAACTTCCTGGGAGGAGGAGGAGGTGGATGGACCTCTATAAAAGTGGTCCAGCCTCAGAGGGCTCCCATTGTCCTCATTCTGGAGGGCCTCCCAGGTTTGGAAAGGTGGAAGTGCTCTGAAGGAGGCTGGCAGCCCCTGGGGGAGCCTGTGCCCAGCAGGGGTCACACCAAGGGATAGGTTGGCACTCTCTGGAGTATCCTACCCTTCCACCAGCAGGTGCTGCTCTGCAGTGCTACTCCTGCACTGCCCAGGTGAACAACCGCGACTGCCAGAAGGTACAGAACTGCAGCCACACGGACACCTACTGCTGGACTTCACGTGTCGGTGAGTGTCAACCTGCTGTGTTCCTTCTTCTCCACTGGCAGCTGCTGTAGAACATGGGCCTTGTGTCTGTTATTTTTCTCTCTGCCCATCTTCTCCCTTACCCATCTATCCCCACATGCCCGCTCACCTTCCTGCCCACCTCTCCATGCTGCACTCAGATTGTTTCGCTCCAGGCCCCATTTCCTTAGGCACTTGGGTGTGGGCTGGACCAGACTCCTGGTTTTGGGCAGCTTTTCTTTCATGGCCAGGGGAGGGGACTTGAGCTCCTATTTAGAGGAGGCATGGGGTGGGCAGCTGGGGCAGGCCTGGACAAGTAAGTTCCAGGACCTGTCCTCAGCCAGTGGTCACCACGCCCTCCAGGTGCCATCGGGGTCCTGGAGTTCATCAGCAAGGGTTGCACCTCTGATTGTGTGGATGACTCAGACAACTACTACTTTGGCAAGAAAAACATCACCTGCTGCTCTACTGACCTGTGCAATGCCAGCAGAGCCTACGCCCTGAAGCCAACCACCACTCTAGGGCTGCTAACGGCACTCATTGTTCCGCTACTGTGGGGCCCTGGGCAGTTGTAGGCTCCAGGGATAGTGGTCCCTTAGCTCTGGCCTTCCTGGGCCCCACACAGTGCTGCCCTGACTTGCCCCTTCTGTGTCTTCCTCTCCAGGACTCCTGCCCAGTGCCCACCCACTCTAGTGACAGGAACAGTCTAAAGCTGCCCGATAACCCAATGGGCGCTTCATCTCAGATCAGGCATTCCATCTCCAGGGTACCTTTCCCTTGACCACCTCCAGGAGCTGAGCCAGGTCTGTGTGGGCCGGCACTTGGAGGCCTAGCAATGGTTGAGAAGAGAAGGTTTGGTATGAAGCCCTGGAAGTCCCCCATGTTCAAGGGACCTGAGGAACAGCAGCCCCAACACAGTGGCCCTTAATAAACATCTCTTTGGTAAGTGGGAGAGAGCCTCTGTCCTTCCCCCAGACCATGACAGGGGTTGCACTGGGGCCAGGGCTGTGTCTGATATGGATGAGACTTTGACATCAGAGCTATAGTGCTGGCCTGATGGGAGCAGATATGTGGCCTGTGCAAGGAGGACATCACTAGAGACCAGGAAGCTTTTCCTAGCACTTCTAGTCCTTGATATGCAGCCTGGAGAATGTGCCAAGTGTCCCTGGGCCCTGGTGCTCATCTGGGCCCCTCCCTGCTACCAGAACAGTATCAGAATGCTCACTGTGGGGTGGGGTGCTCCTGCTGGGAGGGTGTGTTAGTCAGCTTCCCTATCGCTGAGCTGCAATACCCAACACCCTACCATTTAAAGAAAGCGAGATCTAATTTGACTCAGGGTTTCCAGGGATTCAGGCTGTATTTGACTGGCTCCAAGACAGAAATATCATGGCAGAGGTGCATAGCAGAACCAAGATGCTCAGTTCATGGTGGCCAAGAAGCAGAGTAAGAAGAACAGCCTTAGAGAGGAGAGGGGAAGGGAGCAGATAGGTACCCAGGGTCATGACCCCATGATACACCCAAACGCCTGGGTGGCTCCCCAGATTGACAGTTAAGCTTCACCATCACTCCACTGCTCCCTCAGCCCTCAGAGAACCTGTTTTTCAAAACTTTTGTTCTAAGAATTACAGATCCACAGTAAATACTCATATACTACAAAGGGTTCCCATGACAGACTACCACTCCCATAATGACCCCAAGACCCAAACTCTGCTTTGGGATGACTTATTCCACCTCCTGGGTTCCTTTGGGTAAGTCTCCCCATGTTCTTAGGCTCTGGAGGCCTGGGAGAAGACATGCCCACCCCTTCCTGTCCTAGTATTGGACTTGGCCTGCCTGTGCTGCAGGCTGAGTGGGGACCTGCTGTGACACTTCCAGGAAAATAGGGAACCACAGAAGTTCAGAGAAGGGAGGAGTTTGATGCTTGTATCATGAACGGAACCAGGGTCAGAACTTGGTCCTGGGGCTCTGGGGTGGCAATGGGGAGCAGGAGTCATGCTGTGGATGAGCCAGGCCAGAGACCCCAGAATTTTAGCCAGTGCCCACCTGTGTAGGGACAAGGGAAAAGACACAGCTCTCTCAGGCCACTGTCTGAATGATCTTGCTTCCTACCCCCTTCCCCACCCTCCCCCACCCAACCTGCCTGTCTGACTCCTGTGGGGGAGTCCTGGACTCCAGCCTTCTGAAGCCTTACCTCTTACTCCAGTCCCAGGCCCCCCTCCAGGGTCCAGGGTGGGCCTGTGTTTTTCAAGTACACCAGAGAGTTCAGGGTCCCCTAGAACTTCATATCCATTGGGACTGCTTAGGCTGGTGCTTCCCAAGGCATTGTGTCTTTGAAAGCTGCTGACCAAGGCTCGATGACATTCTCTAGAATCATCCAGGGCACAGCCCAGGACTCTGGTGACCTGTGGTACTCTCGGCTGCTCAAGTGTACAGTCTCAAGGGCCTGCTAGGTTCCAGGTGCTACCCTTGGTATATATAACAGGAGTCAACCAGGCTTGGCTGCGTTCTGTCCAACCCTCCTGAACACCCTGCAGCACTGATGGTGAACTTTTAAGTGATATAAACTTTTCATTGTTTAGTGGCTAAAACTTTTTTAGTTTCAGATATAAACTGCCTGCGATAGCACATGTGACATAAGTTCACATCCTTTGCCCTACAGTCACCCCAGACCATGGAGACTACAGGGTAGTGCAGAAGACTTTGATAAGCAGGATGAATATATAAAAAGAGCTGGGAGAATAACATAGAGCCAGAGAGGAAGATCCAAATGTTGGCGTGGTCAGGAAGGCTTCTTGGAGGGAAACCTGGGAGTCCAGAAAGCATGGCCACCCTTATTGAGCAGAACACAGCCCATGAGGGCCCACATGTAGCTGGCATATGCCAGGGCTGATGGCCACCCACGTCCTGCAAGATGAGAGTGCTCAGGATAAGTGAGTGTCACTAAATTGGGCTTTACAGGGACAAGTGTGAGCCACGTTTGGGGAAGGCCCTGATAGACAGGGAGCCTTCTGTCCGTGGAGCATCTAAGCAGACCCAGGAACCCAGATCCTGCCCTGCCACATCTTTAGATCCCAGAAGCAGATTGACAAAGAGTGGTAACATCCTACCCTAAGACTTCATTTGCATTGAATTGAAAAAATCTTGAACAAGGTGAGGGGAGGCAAAAAAATGTAACCAGATCCTGAGAGGTGGGAGGCCAGGCCTGTGGTACAGGCAGGAGAGGAAGCATCCTTAGAGCTGCAGCTTCTGGGATTTTGGGGAGCAGCTGGAGCTGGAAATAGATTGTATATAAGCTGGAGCATGGCAGACCAAGAACACAGAGAACCTGAGGCAAGTCACATAAATAAGCCGCTCTAGCCTCACGAACACTGGGCGCCAGAGACAAGCCACATGGATATACTGTTAGGTGGGGAGGTTTCACATGACATTTAACCTCCCAAGTGTATAAATAAACACGCTGCAGCTGTTGCACCTCTCTTCTTCTCCTCTTTTTCCTTCCTTCCTTCCCATCAGGAGAGAGGACTGCATATGACCTCAGTTTTCTGACTCTTGTCCTTATTTCTCCATCCTCCCACCATCCTCATCCTGGGAACATCAAGAACTGCACGGGATGCAGCATGGAATCGTGCAACTCACCCAGCCCACCAGGGTCCTGTGGCCGTCCAGCCTCTGCTATTCCATTGCCCAAGCTCTGCTGGGTAGTTCCCTGAGCCTGTCCTCCAGACCCAGGAGGCTCCAACTCATTCAGCAGCTGCTAGAAGTTGGGCTGCAGGCCTGTGCCTGGTGGTTATGCCTGTCACTACCCTGCACACAGGAGTCCTGGAAGAGCAAGGGGCCTGTGATAAGCCCCTGCTGGAAGTTCGTCTGTACCACTGTGCAGACTCAGACATCCCAGGCACAGGCTATAGAAGGACTGTCAGGTCCAGAGCCCAGGAGTCTCCCACCTGCCTTGGGCTCCTTCCAGCCCTCCAGTAGACTGCTGGTAACCCACCCCAAGAAGCCACATCCTTGTGAGCAAGCAACATGGCTGTGCTGGCAGATAGAAAGGCATGGGTTCCTCAAGCATTTGAGTGTGGAGCACCTGCTGAGTGATGGATTGGGACACAGTGGTCAGCAGGTACGCTGGCCCCTAAGGTCCAGCAGCATGGACACAAGTTCATATAATCACATTTGTGTCACACCTGGGGTGGAAGAGGGGTTGAGGTGATGGGAGTCACAGGAGTGGAGGGCACTGGACTTTGCCCAGGCAGTGGGTCAAAGGGATCAGTGTGCACTCAGGCAGCCTGGCAGGCTCAGGACAGAGTTCAGCAGTGGGATGGGACACAGTAGGCAAACTGGGTGATAGGAGGCTGTACTCTGAACAAGGTTAAAGAGCTCCGAGGACAAATCCTCAGTCCTCAGCCACCTTTCCCCAGATGGCTCCCAAAGCCCAGCCAGGACTAAGTGGGTGTCACAGGGACAGTGAGACCAATGTTTGGCCCTGTCCCTGAGCCTGTACAAGCAGATCTGGGGATCTAGGAAACCTAGATCCTGCTGTGCTACAGCTGCAGGGCCCAGAAGTGAAACACAAAGAATCAAGTGTCTGCTATTGAGGGAGACTAAGGCCAGCGACAAAGCTGTCCAGACACTAGCATGGGGATATCATCTGGCAGTGCTGTTCCCTGGAGCTACTCTATGAGGGTGCTCAGGAATACCCTTAACAGGAGCAAGGCCCATAATGATGTGTGGTCTCAGAGCCTCTGGATCGGGTTAGGCTGCTCCCGCCTGCCATGTCCCGGTTGCAGTGGTTTCTTGGGGCCTGGCGTTCATGGCCTTCGAAGACCCTCTTGGGCCGCCCCACTCCCATCCATGAGGGAAAGAGACTGTGTGAGATTCAAGCGTGTGTGACAGAGTCCTGTGCCGCAGCCAGCGCCTAGGGCACCTGTGACTGAGCTGCTGAGTCATTTACCTTGACCAGTCTCCTCTACCACCCAGCGCTATCTGCTGAGGTTTCCCAAGGGGGTGAAGGGGCAGGAATGCTCGGGATAGGCATGATTGGGGTGCGCTTAGGATCCTCAGGATCTTGGGAATGAGGGTGAGAGCCGGGGTCGAGGCATAATGAGGTTGCAAGATGGGACTGGTATTCACGGAGAAGGAGCGGATGTTATTCACATCCCGCCAGGAATTCGCAGATGCCCTTGTCTTGTAGAGTCAGGAGGCCCTGAGCTGGCGTGTTAGAGCGCTATAAGGACCCTGTGCCTCATTTTTCCTTGCAAAGTTTGCAGCCTGGCCGAGAAGTGCCGAACCCTTAGATCCGTTAGATCAGAGGGCGCGTCCACAACAACGAGGGAAACAACGGGTAGCGCCCCAGCCACACTGCAGAAACTACGGACACACACACAAAAAAAAAAAAAAAAAAAAAAAAAAAGAAACTACGGACACACAGGTTGCCCCTGGCCCGCAGCGCTTGCAGTGCTGAGAGCAGCCGCCAGGTGTCGCTAAGGCGCGCAACACACCCCGTCCCCCACTTCTCCCTTGTGGAAAAGTGAAAGCTGCGCAGGCCTGGAACGCAGGGCCGGAACGCGGGATAGACCATTGAGGGCGCGGGGGTGCAGTCTGAGCCGAGGGCGGAGATGAGATCTGCGGCGTGCGGCCTCCAGCGTGCCTCCCCCTCCACCGGCTTAACAAGGTGTTGTGCTCCAGACGGCGGCTGGCTGCAGCTCAACGGCCGGGTTTAGGACTAGCACAGCGAGCTGCTCTACTGCCGTGATGCTGCCCCTATTGGTGGCTTCGATGGGCCTGGCGCTCGCCTTCTTCGCTCTGCTGGACGGCTGGTACCTGCTGCGTGTACCGTGCGCGGCACTTAGCGCGCGCCTGCTGGAGCCGCGCGTTCTCGATCTGCTGGCTGAGCAGAGCCGGGCAGGCCGCGTGCTGCCTTCGGACTTGGATCTGCTGTTTCACATGAACAACGCGCGTTACCTGCGTGAAGCGGACGTGGCGCGCATCACGCACCTGATCCGCTGCGGCATACTTGGGGCGCTTCGCGAGCTGGGGGCCAGCACGGTATTGGCAGCGTCATGCGCGCGCTACCGCCGTGCGCTGCACTTGTTCGAGCCTTTTGAAGTGCGCACCCGCCTACTGGGATGGGACGACCGCACCTTCTACCTGGAGGCGCGCTTCGTTAGCTTGCGCAGTGGCTTCGTGTGCGCGCTGCTGCGCTTCCGGCAGCATGTGCTGGGCACCTCGCCGGAGCGCATCATACAGCACTTGTGCAAGCGCAGGGTGAGCAGTCCATTCCCCCCGGAAGCCCCGATACCACCCTCTCCTTTGGCCAAAGGTCTTCACTGGTGCACTCTTGGGGATCCTAGAGTCCCTAAGTAAGCTCTGTGTAAGCCGATTTAGCTAGCACATCTTGGTTCCATCTTCCTCCTTTCTGACTTACCAGAGATACCCAGGTGAGGCTTTGCTCCCCAAAGGCCAGATTTTCCTGCTGTGTGGCCTGGAGTGCTGAGCCACCTTCTCTGGCTCTTGCTTCTAAACATAGGATGGATGCATTGTGTTAGAGGGAGTTGTTGGCCATTCCGGGGAACCCATGAACCATATCAGCACAGATTGAGTCCTGGTATCTGAGTCTGTTAAACAGACTCCAAGAGCTGCAAGCCTGTCCTTTCCACAAGTGGAAGAGGAGAGCCTGTGTGCCTAGCCAGAGCCCCTCCCCAGGGGCTGCTTGTGCACAGTTGATTCCAGTGTCCTGGCAACCACAGCCATGGGGCAACCGTGGGGACACCTGGGTAACAATGGTTGCCACCGGTGGGCTCCTGAAAGGTGCCAGGTCCTGCCCTCTCCTTGGCCTCACAATCACTCATGAGAGACCATGTCTGAAGAAGGGAATCTGAAGCTCAAAAGTGATGGTTGCTACCCCATGATCACAAGCACAGCTCCCAGGTTTTCTGTCTTTGTTGTGTCAGTAGACCTCTGAAGGACCTGAACCTTTCTGTCCCCACAGGGCCAGGTGCTGGCCCTGAGGCTCTGAGTACTTTCCTGTGTAAAGAATCCAGGAGAAGTGGCCATTAATGTCCTCAGTTCAGGAGTTAAGGGAGGACCAGGGCATCTTTTCTTTGAGGGAGGGTGACCTGTCCCATGAAGGACAGTATGGATGAGGGATTGGCTAGGGGTGACATACCAGGGAGGTAGCTGGATCTGCCCATGGAAACTGGGCTGGGAGGAGTGGTCCTGAAAATTGGCACTGGACTCAGGAGCAGAACCTGGACTGGGCCAGCCCTGGAAACGTGCATGTCTTAGTTACTAATATGTAACACCCAAAGTTAAAAAGGGGAAAGATTGTTTAGCTCATAGTTTGTAGAGTTTTCAGTCCATAATTGGCTGGCTCCAAGGCAGAGTGACAGGCATTGCAGAGAAGAAACAGTTTATGGTGGGCAGAAGGTGGCAAAACAAGCAAGGGACCTTAGCAGCTTCTTTCTGCCTCTTTTGTACTCCTAACTCGGCTAACTTGGTTTAGAGTGGTGCTAACCCAGTCAGTGGTTTGATTAATAATTATCCCGTTCTGACCTAGATTCCCCAACCAAACAGGTGTATGGTGAAGGCTTAAATAAATGAGACAATTGGTGTGATTCTAGGGCTTCAGGAGAATCAAACCCCCCTTTCAGAGTTCTTAACTCTGTGGTTATCACAAGGGTTAAGACAAAAAGCTTCTCTGGACTGCCCATATTTATTCCATCTCCAAAGAGCGGGCATACTGAGGAGCAGGACCTTGGGAGTCACTTCAAAGATTTCTCCAATTAGTAAATTTTACCAATTTAGGAGAACAATCTTATCTCCATGATGACATTTATGGTAGCAATGAGACTGCAGGAGTGAGATTCCTACAGTGCCCTATTTACTTAATTAGTGTTGGAGCCAAGGAGTCCTCAGATGTGAACTTATATTGCATTTGAAGTATCTCTGGCATCACAGGCCCACTATATGCCTCAGCCAGGACCAGTGATGCATAGAAGTTCACTTACTATGAATCAGCTCCCATCACCAGGCAAGGGTCCTAGGCCTAGGACAGACTCACAAATAAACATAGAAAGCCAATTAATTTTAAATCCTGCTCAGAGCTGCCTCATAGTGGGCTTTGTAGCAGTCTCCTAACAAGTAATCACACACCCTTAATCCCAGGATCACATACTCTAAATTCAGCTACCTTTGAGAAAGCCCCACCTGTGAGGCTTTGGTGAGGACATCTAGACACAAACCATACTGTGCAGTTCCTCCTCCTCACCCCAGTCTGACATGTGGCCACTGGCTAAGGGGAGTGGTGTGGTCATTTAGCTGGTCTCTTCTCATTCTGTGGCTTGCAAATCTATCTGAAACCTCCAACCCCTCAGGTTAGAGGGACTTGAGTGCAGGGAGGATGGGGCTGGGTGGTTCTCACAGAATCCTCCCTCTACCTGAATCCCTGCCCTTCTCAAGGTAGCTAGGGCTCTGTTGCCTCTTCAGCAGGCTTTTTCGCCTGGTTCTGGGAATCCAGAAACCTCACACAGGATGCCCTGGGCAGGCAGGGCTGGGATGGAGATAGTGTGAGCTCACAGGACCTGAAAAGCATGGGGCAGGCATTTGGGAGGGGTTCCTGGAAGGTCACTGGGGCTGGGGAATGATGCAGGCAGAGACCTGACTAAGTGCCCCTTGCTGTGCTACTCATCCCATATCAGGTGCCCAACAGACCCTTACCCTCTTGGTCCCCTGCAGGTGGAGCCTCCTGAGCTGCCAGAAGATTTGAAGCACTGGGTCACTTACAATGAGGTCAGCAGCCAGCTGCTACGTGCGGAGAGTGGGCTCAGCAAGGACACCAAGGCCCAGTGACTGCTGCTTCTACCCCACCCCACCCTACCTCTTGGCCTCAGCCTGACCAGCAGCGCCCACCTGGCCTGTCAGTTGGCTGTCCTGCAGACCAGGTGTGCTAGGCCAGGCTCCTAGCTACAGTAGTCTTATGACAGTCGAGCCACCTTTGCCAGCTTGACCTCCTCTGTGCTGGGCCCTGTGCTGGGCTGGGGAGGGGGTAGCATGGGCATCTTGACCATCTGTCCCCTGGCTCGGGCAGGTGGGCAGAAGGGGATGGGGTAGGGACCAGGGTAGGCCTGGGGATCTCTAGCACTTGCTCTTGGGCCTGAACCTGACTCAGGGATAGCAAGGCTTCTGGATGATCAGAGCCAGTTTGCCACACAACTTTCTGTGGCCTCTGGCAGGACAGGAAAGCCTGGTGTAGAATCAGAGATGTCAGCGGCGGATACTGGGGAGAGGGACAGAAGCACTTGGAAGGAAGATTGACTAGTGCTTGCACCATAGCACAGGTCTACAAGGCTCCCATGTACAAAATTGGCCTCTGTCACCTCTTTGTCCGGCTGGGCAAGGGCAGGCTCCTGGGACTTTTGGCCAAGGAGTCACATGGCACAGTGGGTCCTAGAAGGGCAGTGGGCTTTCCCGGCTGGGGATTCCCAAATCGGGAAAGGCATAGAGCTGGTAGGGGGAGGGGCTCTTATTTGCCTGTGTCCATCAGGACTGATGTGTGGTCTCAGGCTGGACCCTGCCCTTTGGGCACCTCAGCCTTTCATTCCGAGAAGCTGTGTCTCCTCAACACCTAGGCCATCTCTTTGGATGGGAAGCATTTTTTCTCAGGCCACTTGCTCCTGCAACTACCCCACCTAACAGCTGGGGAACCCAGGTCTAGAGCAGTCTGCAGCTGCTGAGAACTGAAAGTCAAGAGCGTCTGGCCTGAGGCTCTACCATTTCCCCCCGGAATGTGTCCTCTTAGCTGGGGTCCAGGTCAGGAGCCCTACTGGCGGTGCTTGTGCCAGCTCAGAGCCATTGCCTTGGCCTGTGACCTCCTCATGCCCACTGCGGGACTGCCCTGTAGCTCCAGCCAGAGCTTCTGTGATGCTGGCTCCTCACTTCCACCTGACTCTTGCCTCCGTGTCCACATGGGGAAGTTGCAGTCTCTGTTTTAAAGCACATGATTAAAGAATTGTAAAGGTGCATACGTGATAGGAGGTGCTTGTTTCTGAACCTCTCACCCACAGCAGGAGCCCATTGCTAGGAATGTTTTCTGTCTGAGTCTGTTGGACTTCCTTGAACCTGGGATTTATCTCCATCCCAAAGAATGAGATAGCCTGGAAGGAATCACCCAAAATCCTTGGTTATCCTGCCCTGTCCCAGAATTTCCCTTTCCTTGGAGTCCCAAGACAGGTCAGAGGACCTAGGCTTCCTGGGTGGCAGAATGAGTGGCATTTGGTGTAGGGAGTGATGACTTTGATGACAGAAGAGGGCTGAAAGCATGGGAGACATACTACAGATTCCTCCAAGGTAGGACCCCAGGATAAGTGATGGGCTTAGTCATGTGCCACAGGGCCTCCTGCAGATAGCCTTCCCAGCCCAGGCTCGAGGGGACTGGAAAGGGCTTCCGGAGGTGGGTGGGCCTGGACAGGGATAGTACCTCACACAACTGCTCAGGGAGGCACGCGGGATTCGAGGCTGCAGGATGAGGCACTTGGGTCCTGCCAGGCACCACACAAAGGTGCCTGGGGTTGGAAGGGCACCCGAAGCCAAGACTAGGAGTTGGTATTTAGTTGCCAGAATGAGCTAAACGAGCTAAATTTGTCCGCTCGTATGCGCAGGGGGCAGGGAAGCGTCTCTGAGGCCAACCACGGGGCAGAGGTTTTCGGGCTCCCTGCAGTCCCCGCGGTCCTGGCGGATAGGCCTCGCTCCGGTTAGAGGTTGCCGCCTGGGAGGGATGAACGGAATCTTTGTGTGTCTGCTGTGTAGGTCGGGGAGGGGTGTTGGGTTTTCGCGGCGCCGGATCTGCTGGTCGGGCACACGCCCTCTGCTGGCCGCGCTGGTGCATTACTGAGGTCCCTACCTCCGCGCTGCGACATAGCCTAGTTCCCTGAGGGCTCCTCCTTCAGATGGTGACATCTGGTCACTCACAAACGAGAGACCGCGGCCCTGGCCTCTTGGCTCCAACCCCAAGGCCAGTGATCTCTCTAGAAGTCCAGCAATAACCCAGGGGGCTCCATCTGGGAGGACCGCAGGCGGGGTAGGCTCAGGAGCACAGTTAAAGGGAGATAAGTCAGTCAGCACCTGCTCCTGAATATGCTGATTCCCCGGGAAAGGAGCTTGTTCAGGTAGTCTCTGGGCTTCGTGGAAGGAGAAGCTCTCCCGGGGTCCCCAATGACTTTCGCTACCGTTCTGGTTACTCTCTGTGCCAGTCAGGTCTCCCAAACTGGCCAGCTACTGTCCGAGGCACATCACTTGTACTCCAACACCAGCAGTTAGCAAGAGAACCCCAAGGTCAAGGCCCAGTGGCTGCTGAAGCTTGAGGTGCCAAGATCTGCTGGCCAGAATCCAGACAGCACCCAGCTCGCTGGTAGGAACTTGGGCCTGGGGAGGGGCCTTGGGAGTCCCCCCACCGTGGCCACATGCTTCATAGCAGTTAAAGCATGTGTGCAAGGGGAAGAAGAAAGGTTCTGAAGGCAAGGTCTCAGGACCCAGAGAACCCTGGGCTCCTGCACGGAGTGCAGCCTCTGCAGCCACACTGTTCCCTCCATCTTCTACTTTTGGGGACAGCCCTGCACAGTGCCCAGTGAGAGTGTTGTTTATTCAGCATGACAGGGAGCCAAGCTGGCAGTGGCCACATCTAATCTCCACAGCTGTCACAAGGACATAGGCAGGCTATTGCCAGAGGAGATGACAGGCTGGTGGAGACACATCACCCCAGGTAGACCCGGGCGGGAGGAAGCCTACTGAGCTTCCCTGTGCTCCTGCTCTCCACCCTCCTTGCTGCAGCTTCATTTGCCTTGCCAGGCTAGGCAGAACCAGACATCCCACCCCAAGGAGAAACCAGATGCCGTCTTTGAGCTTCCTTTCCACTCTAGGATGGCGTAACCTGCAGGATCTTGGGGGAAGGTTAAGAGGCTAGCAACAGGTCTTGGGCTGAGACATGGGTTATGTTGCAGGAAAAGTGGCCCAGGCAACATTTGTACCTCTCTCTCCCCATCTGGGAAATGGTTCCATAAGACCCTGGATGAGAAGGAGGCTAATGCCTGGAATATTCCAAAGTTCAGCCCAACTCTGTGGGCTCTCGGTGTCTAGGAAGTTCAGAAGTTGTCTCCATCCATGGTTTGTTTATTTTCTACAAGCTTAGGGGCAGAGTAAGTGGCCTGAGGTCCAATGAGATCCAATTACAGAGGCAGACAGAGATGACCACAGGCTGTGCCAGGCCTTGTCAAAAGAGATGTCCGAGGAGCATGGCCCTCAGAGTAGCTAGAACCCAAGTGGCTCCCCTGTGTTGCAGAGGTCACGGAAGCAGCAGAAGACAGGATGGGCAGTCCCAATGCTGTCAGGGTCAGTAGCCAGGCAGGAGCTGGAGCAGGAGCGGGTCACCATGGGAATCTGATTGAAAGGGTACTCTGTAGGGTGGGCAGATATCAGTATCTGGCTTGCACATTCTCCTCCCAATGTTCTTGATCCCTACACCTTTGACTTTGCCCCCCCCCTTCCCTTCAGTACCACCTGCATTTCCCATCCCAGTTCCTGTCCATGCCTGTATCCCCTGACTGTGATATAGTTATTAATAATAGCACCAGCGCCTCCTGGAACAGTGGCAGTGTTGGGCCTGAGATAGTTGCTCCCTGTTCCCAGCTGTGGTTGCAGCCCTCAAACCCTACCCTACCAGCCTGGGGCAGAGCTGCAGCTGAAGCCATTCCCAGTGTCTGGTGTAGGATCCCTGAGGTGCTGTATCTCATACATGCAGGCATCCACTCCCCCAACCCGAGCAGTAGGAACCTCAACCCACCCCTTCCTGTCCCTCTGCCTCCCAGGCAAGGGGAGCAATGGTAGCCTTCCCTGGGGCTCAGCCTCACCTGACTCCACCTTCTCCAGGGTGGTCTTGCAGGCTGTGTCCTCCAGCTTGCAGAAAGTGATGTTCTTGCATAAATGAATAGGTGTGGGCCGGTCACAGGAGTAGCACTTGAAGGCCTCACCTGGACCAGGGTTAGGGGCAAAGCTCTATTACCTGGCTCCAGAGGCCCATCCTGGAGCAGGAGTAAGGGGCTAGAGGTGATCTGCTGAGGTCTTTCAAGATGCAGTTGGCTGACTGACACCCTACTGCCCAAGCCTCAGTCTTGCTTCCTGGAGAATGGAGCCTTGACCATTGACTCAGGGTGCAGTTCAGCTCTAGAACCCAGGAAACCCAGAAAGATCCTGAAGGATAACCTTCACCAAAGACTCCAGCAGCCCTCCCTCTAGGAGATAGGAGCTAGGAGCTAGCTCCAGGGCAGGTTACCCCCTTCGTGCCACTCACCACAGCCCACACTCCAGGCTGCAAAGAGCAGTAGCTGCATGGCCCAGCGGGAGGCCATTCCTGATGTTCAGGAGTTGGGAGCACCTGGCCTCATTTGAGGCTTTGTACCAGCCCTTGTAGCTTCAGCTGCTGGGCGTTGGTGGTAGCATTTGTGTGACTCAGTAGAGCAGCCTGGAGCATAAGGGTGAGGGCCATCATGACTGTGGGTGGTACCATGGCATAGTGAGAACTATGTCACTCAAAGGCTCTCAGAAACAGAACTCCCCTAGGACCTCAGTGTGAGGACCAAGCCCCACTCTACTGGTCCCTCCATCACAGGGATCTCACTGTTCCCCAGATACCCTGTCTTCCTAGGATGACTCTGATAAGAGGCCTTGCACCTGTGCCCAGGAAGACACTACAGCAAGCTCCCTCACCCACTCTGCCTACCTGGACTTCCCAAGGGCCACATGGCTCCAGTCTTGGGCCCTCAAAACCCAAGTATAGGGAGTCACCTGGTTAGCCAGGGACCAAGGCCTGTCTCCACCTGGTCTTCACCCACACACACTAGCAAAAATGAGGCCAGGCCAATGTGGAAAAAGGGTTAGCCTGGGGAAGTAGGGTGGCTGGGGATGCTGTGGCCTCTCATCATGGCCAGTCCCTTCCCTGATAATGGCCTTTAACATGAGGTGATTGGTTTTAGGTCCCTAATGACAGGGCTCTACCTACCCTCTGGTCCTAAGGCCAGACAATTTTCTCTCACCTTCTCTGTCCCTGCACACCTTTTCCTGTGCTAGGCCTCGCACAGTATAGACACATTGTCTTCTCTCTCATCTAATGCCTCAGATCTTCTCCATCCAGGTTTTCCTCCTCCACAGCCCTTCCCAGATCAGCCTCTTTGGTGTCTTAGTTTCCAGTGTGCTAATGGGTAGTTTTATGCCAGGATAGATGGATAGGCTGGATGGACACTTGAATCAAGGAGTAGAAGGACAAATGGTGGGGTAGATAAATAGAGAATGATGTTTGGATGGACAAAGAGTAAGTAAATGAGTGTGGTGAGGGCTGAATGAATGGGAGAATTTATAGATGGATGGATGGAGGATGTATGAATGGATGGAGGAAGGGATGGATGTTAGAAAAGTGGGGTAGATGTGTAGATGAATAGGTCAATGGACAGGCTAAGTGGGCTCTGTGCAGAGCTAGTGAGTGGGTCTGGCTTTAGCATAGAAGAGTCACCCTCTGACCTTGTAGCTGGATGAGATGCTGGATGGAGCCCTGAGCTGACACCTAAGAGGCCCAACTTGCTTTTATGTCCTTGAAGCTCTCCATGTATGGCCTTGGAGTGGCCCCCTTATCTCTCTAGATTTTTCCTGTTTGTAGGTTGCAAGGGTAGAAGTGACCTGGCTTTGTGTGTGAAGACGAGTTATACAAGTCTTCTCAAAAAAGGAAAAGAAAGGCATGGTGTGCAAAGGGAGAGGCTGATTACCACAAATCAAACAATAGGCCTGTACGTGGGCCATTTCATGAACAGCATCAGGGGTGGTTCATCCCTTGGGCTCAGTCCACAGACATGCCCAAACATTAGGAGAAGAGCCAGGGAATGCCTGTATTTGCTGTGTGGTACTGAGCTCAGTCCTGCCTACACTCGTCTCCCATGCGACCTGGGTGTACTCATGAGCACTTACTCTCATCTCCCTTTCTCACCTGTAACCTTGACAAAGGAACACCTGCCCCAGAGGATGACTTTGAAGACTACCAAGTGGCACTCTAAGCTCCTCACAGATCACAGAGCAAAGGCACTTGGAGCAGGGTGGGCATGTGGCTGTGGTCCTGAGTGTGCTTGCCCTGGTTTTGAAAAAGAGGGAAGTCCTCAGAGTTAGCGAGGGTGCTGGATGGTGTAGCAACTGGGAGAGGGTATACATAGCCAGCCCTCTTGCAGGCAGAGCAGATACCACCTCTGAGTTCAGCATCCAATCACCAGGTATAAGAGTAGCACCATGTCTGGATCAGACAGTACCTGCCAACACAGGATGTATGCCCTAGTTGGACAGCTGCCCTCCTATCTTCCCACTTCTCTGTAAGTCTGTGTCCTCCCTGCAGGACCCAGATGTGAACCAAGACCAGGCTTGAGCCCAGTGTGTGATACAGAGGGACTTTCATTGAGTCTGGGAGTCCTTGTCCAAAGCTCCAAGCCCTGTGGCTTGGAAAAGGGCTATTCCACAAACTAGGTGAACCCCAGCCCTGCCGGTTGCTGATGATGTGACCACAGTCATTTCTCCTTTGTGAGCCTGGGTCTAATCTGTAACATGGGATGATGATTGTTTCAGGTTTCTGAAATGAGGGGATATGTGTAAAAACTGCCCAAGCCATGCAAGACTAACAATAGAAATGGACAGAGGCTCTAATGGGGTGCCTTCAAGTCTTGTCCCCTGCTGCCTGACCATCACAGAAGCACAGAAACTTTAGGGCCCTCCAAGCCTGGCTGAGTAACAAAGCCATCCTCAAGATGGCCACGCCTGTTTTCTCCTACCCAGCTGGTCATTTCCAAAATTTCATGAGCCCCAGTCTTTTACCAGGTCACTTGTCAGTTTCTGGGAGTCTGTTTCCTCTTTCTTGGCCACCCAAGAGTGCTGCCAGTTAGAGGCATTGGCTAAAATGCAAATTATCTCAGGAACTGCATTTCCCAGAAACTCTCCCGGGCTCTCAGCTGCCTTCAGGATACAGTCAAAGCCCCAACCCCACCAAGGCATTAGATGCCTGCTCCACCCTTTCTTGACTAAGCCCTTGGTCTGACAGCACCTGACCTTCCTCTAAGAACCTTTCACCTGCCCACACTGGGGTAGAAAAAAGGTTCCCTGAGACAGGCAGGAAGCTGTGGAGTCCATAGGGACAGCAAGGTGGGCTCCTTGTTGCTTTTGGAGGTTAGTGCTGGTTCTAGCCTCACCCTGGCCCATGTTCCGCTTGTCATATAGGCTTAGAGCTCCCTTCTAGAGGTACTGGAGGCAGGGTGCTCATCCCTGGGCTGGGGGGGGGGCATTGTTGCCAACTCAAATGAGGATCTATGTGCTGCTTGGGGCAAGAGTGAGGCCAGAGACCAGGGATACCAATCCTGATTTTAGGAACAGAGGTGACAGGTGCTGGAACTGGCAGGTCTCAGGAAAGGAAAGTGCACTCCATCAACTAGTCCAGGAGTTTGAGTGGCCTGGGCCACCAGACCCTGAACTCAGTCTTCCTTCCCCCACTTGCTCCTGGCTCCTCTTCCAACCCAAATTTGGGATGACTGACTTCTTTCTTCCCCAACAGACTAGATCCTGCCCTCTGTCCTACAGGTCATGGAAACTATTTGGGCCTCCACATAGGTGGCCCTACTTCAGGTTGGGACCCAGTCTAAGCACCTCTTTCTGCTTTGCTTCCCTCCCCTACCATGAGGCTCAAGCAAATCCAGAATAGGACTTATGAGGCTGAGATCAAGGGCAGAGTTCTAAATTTGGTCCTAAAGCTTTGCACACATAGCCTGCACCAGGGCACATTCTGTGAACTGAATCCCTTTCCCTGTCACACACTGAGACTACTCTGGTTACAGACTAAACCTGATCCTTGGTTCTGGACTGAGCCCTGCTCCCTGGTCATAGACTCAGCCTGGATCTTGATCATAGGTTGACATTTGATTGATAGTCACAGATGGGCCTGTGAAGTACCTGCATTTTGTAGGGTGTGATGGGATAACAGGGCCATATCTCTCTCAGAGTCTCCCTCAGAGTAAAAGCTCAGAGTCACAGCTCCAATTGGGGGCACTCAAGTCAGTACTAGGTACCCCTACTCTGGGAAGATGCTGCTGCTCTGCCTCCAGGAGCCCCCAGACAGATGGTGGCCATACTTGTGGTCATCTATGCTCCAGGGCTGGTGGTAGCACTCACAAGGCTATGGGAAGCCCCCACCCCCAACTGGTCCAGGATTGCAGAGGTATAACAGGTAGCAGGTCTTCCCATAGAGGCAGAAGTGGGGAGCTCCTGTGTCCCAGGGACTGGGGCTCCTGGTCTCTACTTCCAAGCAAAAGAGCATTATCTGTGGGGATTGGGCATGGTACACTCACCTAGCCTCCTCTATCTAGGAGTAGGAAACCCTTGGAGTGGGGCAATGGCTGAGGGGCAGGGCCCCTGGACACAGGGTTGTGGGCTAGGGCCATGCAAAAAGGAAGTAGCTTAGCCCATCTCACCTTGGCTGAAGGCCACCTCACCCAGGGGCCAGAGCAGGAAAAGGAGGCAGGTACATAGTTGGCGAGGGTCTGCAGGGTTGGAAAGGAGAGGCAGGTGCCAGAGGGGGCCCTTGCAAATAATTTTCTCCTTGGGCCCAACCTCTGCCTACCCTGACCAGACTCCCAATACCCCTCAAGGCCTGAGAACAGAGATCTGCCTTATCTGGGTGACTGTGTAGCTCTGGTGACTGTCTTCTGTCTTTGCTAATGGGGTAGTAATGCTCCACTACAAGACATAGGAGAGATGGAGGAAATACACAGGGCTGAAATCAATCGGAAGGCCCCTTCCTGCCCAAGGAAGATCTGTGCCCAGGAAGGAAACGCAGGAGGCAGGTGCAAGAGGTCCTGTATTTATTCAAGGCATCTGGGGGCAGGGTGGCAGGCGCTAAGCTGCTGAGCTATATCCCTGTCCCTTGGGAGTGCGATAGAAAGAAGTAAGGTCAGCTGGTTTAGCGTTCAAAGTCCACAAGGTGGGCAAGGGCCAGGCTGTGGGTACCACCCAGGGCAAGTGCCCTGTCCATGTTGCACAGGTCAGCATTGCAGCAAGAAATGGAAGTAGGTCTGGCCAATGCCATTTATATCTAAAGTCTCACACTTGCTGGAGCAGGATTTGGTCACTGTGGAGTCTCCCAGGAAGGGGTACACTGTGGGCACAGGAGGACTAGCTGTAAGGACTGGTCCTTTTCTGCCTCTAAGCCCCAGCCCCGGAGCTACCTGTTTGGGTCACCCATTCCGGTGGCCTCAGTTCCCCATGCTGAGAGCCTGTGATGTGCCAGGGACACGTGAGGCTGCTTGCCCTGGGGTTCCTTGCTTGGAGGTGAATTCCACCCAGTGCAGGTAAAACCAAACTGCAAGTAAGCCACCCTTCCTGGTCACTCCCACCCAGGTTGGAGGTTCCCTTCTTAGACAAGAAGGAGGAAGGGAGGAGGGACAGGATGGAGAGGCCAACCACTGGCCTTCTTGGAAGTGTTTAGGATGATAGCTGCACTCTTCCGGGGGATTCCAGCAGGGCAGGCCCTGACCCCGGTGCCTACTGACAGATCTCCAGGGTGTAGAGTATGGTCTTGCACAAGGTTTCATTGGCATTGTATTCGGTGATGGTGATGCAGCTGGATACACTTGTGGGTTCATGACAGGCGTAGCACCACAAAGCCATCACTGAGTGATGAGGGGTAGGTGGGTCAGGCAAAACACCACCACTCAGAGGCAGCCTATGAGTGACCATTACCCTATCCCAGAGACCCCAAACTGAAAGGACAGTGATGCTAATTTAACAAAGGCATCTTCTTCCCATGGGTGGGGTGTGATGAGCAGAGCCCCAGTTGTGGGACCCCAGGGACCTGCCTGACTCCCACAAGCCCAAGCAACTCAGGTCAAAAGTTTGAGCACAGCCTGGAAAATTTAGTGACTTAATGAGCCTGTCTCAAAATCAAAATAAAGTATCGTAGTGGTGCTGGTATTGTTGCCCTGTGTGAAAGTCCTGGGTTCAATCCCTAGTACCTCTAAGACAAACACCAGAAATGCTTCCAGGCCAGTCTGTCCTTTCTTAGGAAGTGGCTGCCTTCCTGCTCTAACAAAGGCCTGTGCTCTTGTTCTTCAGGGCTGGCTGCACCCACTGCTCTCCCTTTCTGCCCTTCGTAGACCTGGCTGGTGGGAGGCTGCCCTCCCACTTCTGCCCTCTCCCCTTCCAGACCCTCCCTGTGGACACTGGAGGATGTTTGTAGCTGAAGCTTGCTGGGGAGGCAGACCCAGCTCACAACGCAAGTTCTCCTGTGTCCCCAATTCCCCACCACCCCTTGCCTCTCAGCCCTCACCAAGTTCCTGGTGAGAGGTCAAGGCCAGAACCAGGAACACCAGCCACATTCCCCACGTGGCTTTTCCTTTGCTGCCTTTTTAGGCCAAGTGTAGTGGTCCGACAGGTTGGCTGACATTAGTGGGATCTAATTTCCCCACCCAGCCCTGGAACCTCTCCCCTCCTTTTAAACACTCTGTCTTCCAGGCACACCTGCCACTTCCGGATGCACTCAGATCCACCCCTCCTCACTGCTCTTCCTCATTCCTCCTCCAGTTGGGGCCTGACCCTGCCTTCCCAACAGGGTCTGATCCCACACCCCCTCTCACTGGATCCCTCCCTTCTGCAGCTCCCTGCTGGGGACCCTCTCAGACTCTTCACCTCCTGCCCTTTGGCTTCCTCTTCCCTCTGATTGGGCAGATTTGGGCTGCTTGGAAGGAGCGTAGAGGCTAAGGGCTTTCCTGCTAGGTTCCTGGACAAGGATTCCTCCACTGTGAGCCCCTACAGGGCAGATTCATGGGCTACAGCCATGGGTTGGAATCTCCCCGGAACTATCTTGTGGACCCAGCTCCTTTTAAATGATTAATGTACAGTGGGGGCGTTGTGGGCTGAATTGTCTCTCCCCTTCTGCCCAGAGTTTTTTCAGTCTTAAGGACCAAAGAGAGAAAACTACTAGACAGACAGGAAAGGACTGGGATGGCCAATGAAATGTGAGCCTCACCCCCCTCCATCCCTGGGGGTCTCCTTGGGAGCACTATTCCCATTGTTTCCTACAGGCTAACCTCACCCTGCCCATCAGCACATCTGGGTCTCTAATGGTCCTAGGCAGCCTCTGACAGGACCTTTCTGGCTGCCCTGCTGGTAAGAGAATTGAGGCAGTTCCTTGCCTTTGGCAGAGTTGAATTTGGGTGTTAATGACTCCTGGTTGACCAGTTGTGGCTTCCCACTGCCTGCTTGTACCCCACAGTACCTGATCACCCTTGCTCATCTTGCCTAATGGCCAGGACACAGTGTCCCTGGGCTGGCTCAACTCCCATGGGGTCCAGGTACCTAATTCTCATTCCTGGGCTTTGTCCTCCCCCGACCCCATGTTCCTCCCTTCTGCCCTTCCAGTTGTGTGGGTACCCTATACCCCTTTTATGGCCTCTAGGCTTCCTTGATGGGTTTTTACCATTGACATAGGCTGAACCCCGTGGGCAGGACCAAGAGTGGTTGGGGGGTGATATATGAGGTCCAGGTTTCCTCCATACCCAGTGCATGTAGAGACAGCCTCCTGGATCTTAGGTTTCCTCACAACTCTGGAAGATTTTGGTTTGGATGAAGAAACTAGTTCTGAGAAGCCAATTTGCTTAGGCAGGTCACCTAGTGAGCCAGCAGCAACCGAGCTTGCCTGATTTTGCACATCTATCACCAGACAGCCATGCTGCAATACTGCAGTTGGCAGGATGCACTGCAGCTACCCAATGGAATGCCCCACACACCCAGGTGTCTCTGAGGGCCAGTCTAGTTTTCCCACATGGTTGCCAGGCTCCTTCCTGTCCTCAGGACCTGTGTCTTTTACTCAAACACATGCTCAGCCTCCACATGTGGGCTTCTCCTGAATTTTGACCTGACTCTCCTTACTTAGGGAGACCCAGGCTGTACTTTCTGTCAAAGTGGCAGCTGCCTGCACATTGTGGTGGGGAGGAATGTACTCCAGACAAAGTTTGGGCTGGCTTCATCTGGGAGGCCCAGATCATTTTCTATTCAGTTCCTAAAGATCTGTGGATTGGGGTTCAGAGATGGGACCAGGGTCAGGAGTCAGAGTGTCATTGATTATTTTGGGCACTCAATCTGAGGTGCAGAGAAAATGGAAGAGATAAGAGGGAGACCAAGGAGGAGGCCTTTAATGTGGGCATGGGAGAGCTTCATGGGGTAGGAGATACATAGGCTCTCAAACAAGAACAATGAACTGGGGCTACTTTAATCAGTTTTGTCTGGGAGGTAGACAAAATGACATATTAACTGCTGATTTGAAGGACCATCTGCCTGCATAAAACAGGAGACAGAAAGATTTACTAGGGACTAGAGGTGGAGACTTGGGTGGTTGTGGAGTCTGCATTAGAATGGGCTCCGTGCAAATGCAACAAGGGAGGGGGAGCTTTATCTCTGGAATGAGGAGAACATAACTATTACTCTTGGAAAGATAAGTTGTTTCTCTGGGTCCAGTACCTTGTTGGGAGGATGTAGCTAAACCCGGGCTAGTGTCAAGGTTTAGTTTGTGACTAGGGAAAATCTCAACTTGTTACTCCAGAGATGTGCACTGCGGTTGAATTGGCCTGGGACATGCTGACCTCAGAACCGACCCTTGAACTGTAACACAGGGATCAGATACCATTGTTGTGCTGCATGCTGCGAGTTTGCCGTAGAGTCCCTGTCCAGATCCTACCTGGACCCTGCCTACGAAGGGTGAAGGTTCAGTTGTGTCAGGGTTCAGTTCTGACAGTAGGCCCCCAAGGAGGCCACCTTCTGCTCTAGGCCCGTTTCTGTGGATAATTCAGTGAGTCAGAGTTCTCAGTGTGGAGTAGGCATAGGTGAATGGTCTCTAGTGTCCTCTGACACCCAGTGTCCCATGGCCTGTGGTCATCCAGTGTCCCATGATTTCTGGCCCCAGTGTCATTCAATGTACTAAGGTTGCTCAGTACTCCCTGTCACTCACCCATGTCACATTCTGTGGGCCCGAGTCTGAGCAAAGCAAAGCTCTGTTGGCCAGCCTATATTATAAGGGGGCCTCCTATGTGGGGTGCTACGGTCAAGGCAGGGGTAGTTTCTGATTGCATCTTACATCTCAGAAACCTCAACCTACTCTGACTCAAGTACTGTAGCTCTATTTTGGGAGCTAGTTCCCTCCACCCAGCCCTGGAGATTTACATTGGCCAATCACCCTCAGCCAGAGCAATGTCTGCTGGGAATATGGATACGCTGTCTGCCCACATCTTCCTCTCCTGCTGGTGCTAGGATACCTCCTCCTGTGACAGTGTTCACCCTTGGAAGGCCAGAGTGACCTTGTAGGTAGCTTTGCTGCTCTGTACCTTTTGAGGGACATCTTGCAGAGAATACCTGTTCTCAAGCTGAGGTTTCTATGTCTAAAGGAAGTGGTCTGTGCCTCCAGCATATGGATACACCATACAATCTAGCCTCTAATCACATGTATCACGTACACACAGCGCTATATACACTTTCACACATTTTCTGAGAACCTGCTCTTTGCAGTTTCCAACTAAGTACCCAGGGTTTGTTCTGGAAGGGTGGTGCTGGGTCTCATCGTAAACATCACCATCCCACTGGGGCTGACTGCCTCCCCACCAACTCTATCTTTATGACCATTGCTTCACTTCCAAGGAGATACAATAACAAATATATTACTGGGATTCATTGTGAATCTTCCCTGGATACCCAGCACTCTGCAGTAGTAACTAGTAACTGGTACCTTTCAATAGTAACCAGCTCTGATGCCCTGGCCTCGGAATTCTAGACACTCTCAACAGGGCCCCACCACCAGCCAGGTTCCTAGGTCCCACCAGCCACAGGCATCTGGGGTACAATTTGGGAGCCAGTGTTGGACCTGACACAAGGCATACTTCAGTGCTCTGCTGAAGGCCCTCCAAGGGGTAGTACCCCCTGCTGGCATGGAGGTGGCACAAGGTTCTTTCTCAGCACCCTGTGTCTTCTTGGTAGGTGGTTTAGAGAGCACATGCTGTCTCTGATCCAGAGTGTGGTGGCGTTCCTCCTTTTGTATGACCTCCCTTTGAATCTTTGACTTTGCTGTTGGAGTCTTTGCCTATTGCCTGCAGGTGTTAGAGTGCACCCTTCTCAGTGCACATGACAGATATTTCCTACACTGTTAACTGACTTTTAGTTTTGTGTATAGTATTACTTTTCTTTCTTTTTCTTTGTTTTGTTTTTGTTTACATGAGTCAGGGTCTTGCTATGTGGCCTAAGGCAGCTTTGATCTCATTAGGTAGCCACAGGTTGGTTTCAAATTCACAGCAATCCTCTTGTGTCAGCCTCCCGAGTGCCTGGTTACTTTTCATATGTGTTTTTAAAACTATTTTTAAAATATTTTTATGTAGTTGTTTATGAATCTTTGTCAATATGGGTTTTGAATCTTATTTATCTGTTAAAATTTTTTATAGCTCTATTACATGTACTTCTGTTGTGCAGCTCATCCATTTAAAAAAGAGTGGAATTAGGCATTTTTAGATATGTACAGATACTTGCAAACACCTTCAGGCAGGGGAGCATATTTTCATCATCTCAGAGAGAAACCCAGTGCCCTCAAACATTACCCCTGTTCCTACAGTCTCATGGTACTGTGAAATATGTGTTTAATTTTCATCACAGATTTTTAGCACACAACTCTTAACGTTCTTGGAATTGAGCTGGGCGTGGTGACACATATCAGTAATCCCAGCAGTCTGGGAGAGTGAAGCAGAAGGATTGGAAATTCAAGCCCAGCACAGGCAACTTAGCAATTTAGAGTGAACTTGTCTCAAAATAAAAAAATAAAAATGGTCTAGAGATGTAGCTCAAGCCCTGGATTCAACTTCAAGTATTGGAAAAACAATAACAAAAACAAAATAAAACTTCTCTTAGGATCTCTAGACTTAGATCTTAGGATCTCTAGTCTTTTGTAAGCTAAGGGCTTATGGGAGATCTCTGCATAGAGCATGGGTTTTCATTTTACTCCTTCCCCTAGCCTCCTCCAGGGATGGGAGAGGGGCTGAAGGTTGACTGGGTCACCAGTGGCTAATGATGTGGTCAATCATGATCATATAACAAAACCTCCATAGAACCACAAAAGAACAGATTGAAGGAGCTGCCTTCCCATGGTGGCGTGCAGGGTGGGGGGGTTTTCCTGGAGGGTTGCATGCCCACAGAAGGCACGAGAGCTCTATGCCCCTTTGCACACATCTCATCCCTGCATCTTGCCCACCGATGGCCATTGAGATCCTTTGTCACTTCCCAGAGGATAAGTGAGAAATACAAATAAAGCACATCCTGAGTTCTGCAGGCCACTCCACTTAAGTGAAGGCCAGGATGGGTCACTGAGAAGTGTAGGCCACACTGGGGGCCGGGGCTGGCATCAGAGGGGAGGCATTCACGGGTCTCACATCTCCTCCAGGTAGAAGAATTAGAGGGGGCACAGCTAGTGTCTGCTGCAGGATTACTTGGTTGCTGGTGTGAAAGTTGATCTCAAGAGAAAATGATTCTTGTGAGACTGGGACCAAGATAGAGCCTGCAAGTAATGAGAGGAGGGCCGCCTGCATATCTGAGACAACCACTGTGTCATGGACTTTCCACGGGGCCCAGAAGAGAGTCCTTGTTTTACACACATCCTATGCTTTGCACACCTGGGGCACACATACACAGATTTCTGTAACAAACATTATTTTCCAAATTCCCCAAGACTGCAACAGTTCAGACAACATGCTCTGGACAGGAAGCTATCTACCACTGACTCAACACCAGGTGCCCCCTTGGCCTTGCTGGTGGTGTCTGGCAGACCAAGAGCTGGTATCTAAGCCACTGACACAAATGTGTCTGTGTTGCCTTTAAAAACTCCTCTGGCCTCAACATTTAGGAGTATGCCTGTGGTTTGCTATGGCACACATTCCCATTATAGTACTCATTACTCCCAAATAAATATCACTACTCTTCAGAGGGCATGTCTCTGGGATTTAGATGAAGAAGAGAAACTCCACCCATATTTTGGTGTTTGGCTTCAGAGGTGAAACAGAGTATTGAGTGGTGTGAACAGGAACTGCATTCCACTTTCCCCATCTCTTAGGAACTCTCCCGTCAATCCTGGGAAGCCACTAATATATTTCCAGATTGTCTGGATTTCCTCACTCTGCCATCTCATGTCAGAGTATGTGCTCTTTTGTGTCTCAATTGTTTCATTTGGCAAGATATTTTTCAGTGTCACTCATGATGTGGCACATATTAGTACCTCATTTCTTCATACAGTTAAAAATATCCTGTGGTCTGGTTAGATCACATTTTGTATGTCCATTCATCGGTTGATGGACATCTGGGTTTTTCCACCTTTTGGCTCCTGTGAATATCACTGCTACAAACATTTGTGAACCAGTTTCAGTGCAGGCAAGTTTCAACTTTTCTTGGGCGTAGATGCCTGGGGCTCCACTGCTGGGTCATATGGTAACTCTGGGTTTAATGAACTGAATTAACCATTAATTGTTTATAAGACTAGAAAAGCAAGTTTGAAGAATGACTTATTTTTCTCTTCTAAATTGTTTACCATTTAAACAATGTGTTCTTACATTTAGGTCTTCGACTGTACTGAAATGCCTTGTGACTTAGTGAGAGATGTCAGAACAGATTAGCCAGTGTGGCTACTGTCTTGAGTGCCACCAATAGCATCTCCACATTCTTCTGCATTGCCAATTTGTCCAGCTGTCTTTGTCTCTCTCTGCCTAGGATGACACTGTTCATTGGGTCACTCACTGCTTGAGGCACCCCATTCTCACAGGCATTAGCTTCTTCTTATTTATTTTCTCATAAACTTGGCCCAGGAGGAACCAGAAAGCCCCTGGAAGTTGCTGATATGTCTGCAGTTGCTGACATTTCTCAATGTCTCCAAAAGCACAGGCCAAAAACAACCCAGGGCCTGGCTGGGAGCTAGCTGGTAAGTAAATATTTGCTAAGTAAAAGAGTAACTTCCCACAAACATCAGCTGCAAAACTCCCCAGGTATTCACCCTGAGATGAGTGATCACAGCTGAGACGGCAACTCTATCACCTGCCTCTGGCACACTGTTCGTCCCTGGGCCTGTGGGCTGGCACAGGGACTGCAAGAACTGGAGGCAGCATCCATACCCACGGCAGGCACACCAGGTATGGGAGGATAGGCCATGCTCCCTGGGAAGCAGGCAAGGGGAACAAGATGAAAACACAGAAGGCTGGTCCAGAAGGAGGGACAAGGAGGTATTGGATCAAGGAGGTGGCAGTTTTCCCACCAGACCACCAAGGTGAGTGACAGAGAGGGGCACCCCAGGCTCTACCCCTCCCTGTTCAGCTTCTGGCTCTCCTTTCCTTGGCCAGTTGGGTTGAGGGTCTTAAACCCACATGTGGCCCCTATGCCTTTTAGGCCTTGTGCCTAGCTGGGGGCTGGAAGGGCTGGTAGTAGGGGAAGGTGGGTTGGGAGGAGCTATTTGGGACGAGGAGGCCACATTTTGAAAGAGGTGGTAAGAGGTAAGATGTTGCCTGAATTGACTGGCCTGTGGCCTTCTGCTCTGTCTCATTTGAAAGCTCAGGCCATGTGATTTGGTTAAATTTTATTGGGGGGATTGTCAGGAGTGGGGAAGTATCACACAGGGAGGGCTTTCAGCTTGCACTGAGGTGGGTTTGGGCAAGACTTCATGCAGGACATCTTAAGGAAGACAGGGTTTGGAGTGAAGCGAGCCAGTCTGGCTGTACAGGGCTTCAGGGTGAGGTCTGGCTGGAGAAGAGGTGCTGTCACGCTGGCTGGCTGTGGAGAGGTGCTCAGTCATGGTTGCAGAGACTGAACTGGCAGCAGGCGAGAGACACGTGGGGACCCAAGCCCAAGCTGGAGACATCAGGGCAGCCCCTGTAGCACATCTTGGTGACCAGAGGCAGGTCCTTAAAGCTGATAGGGGCCCCTTGGGAGTAGGAGGGAAATCACAGATATCCTTGCAGCTCTAAGCTACCCAAAACCCCTTGTCCTACCTGCCACCATCAAGTTGAGGACCACCCCCAGGAAATCAAGCATGTAGGCCACTAAGGGGATACTTGCTGGCCCTCACAGGGACACTATCTAGGGTGGAGAGTGGTGTCCCTCAGGAATGTCAGGCTGAGAAACAGAACAAAGTTGCATGGACTACCAGGCACATGCAACCCCTGCTTGGGCCCTGCTCTAGCCAGCTTCTCTGCTCTGTTCCTGACCTGCTAGGCACCTGAACTGGGCTCCACTTCAGAGTCCAGGTCTCCCAACTGGGGCAAGAACAGTATGGCTGGTCCATTTGCCCACCCCACTCACGTGTGGCAATGGTGATGCAGCGGCTGGAGCCTCTTGGACAGTTGAACACATGGGAACATCCTCCAAAGCCTTTGCACCGGTGGCACCTCAGGCCCTGGGCTGTAGCTGCAAGTGGGGATGGACAATGGCACATAGGAAGCCAGTGGCAACTCTTGCAACTCCCAGCACCACATCTCTATCCAGCACCCACTCCTGTCCGTAGCCTCTACTCTGTGAGCCAGCTTCTCAGTCCATCTAGACTTTGGGGTGTGTGTGTATGTTAAGGGGTTATACACCATATACTGAGCCTCAGCTGAGGGCCAAGCCAGATCCTGGCATTCAGCCCTGCTGTCATTGGACACAAGTGACTATGTTGGGATCAGCTGGGCTGTGTCCCTTTGCCCAAGATGCCACATACTGGAAAGAGCAGGGTGAGACCTCTCTGGGAAGTAGAGTGGAGGTGGTTATGCCTATTTCCACCTTTAGGCCCTACAGGCCCACTGTACCGCCATTCTGGAGCTGAGATAAGGGGGTCTTTCCCTCCTTTATAAAACTAAGGCCAGATTGACCAAAAGGAGTGTGCAATGTAAGGTAAGTTCTATTTGTCTTTTTCCTGGAAAATAAGTGTCTATGTCTCTACCCTGTGCTCTGTCCCATGGGCCCTGCCCTGCTCCTCCCCATACACTCTGTTTTATGTCCATTCTCTCTGCTGCTCCTGGGCTTTCTTCTCTTTCTTCATCTGCTGCCCCAAGTTCACGTGTAGAGAAGAGTCCCTTGGCCCGCCCAGCCTGCTGCTCCTAGGGTGCGCTAGAACCTGCAGAGGACAGAAGTTCCACCTGACCTCCTCAAGCTATGCTCAAGAAACTGAGTCAGGTCCTTCCCAGTGGGCTGGTGCATGGAATCCTGCTGGGAGGCTGGATCCTAGCTCCTAAGGGCTGCAGCAGCTTACTCCCACCACAACCTCCAGGTGCAAAGTCCCTTGTCAGCCCAGAAGTTATGCACTTTGCAGCAGGTGACAGGAAATCCAGACCATAGCAGAGCCTCTGCCACAAACATAAACTTGATTGTTTGCCACCCCTGCAGAGGGAGCTGAGCAGCACAAAGCCTTGGTGCCTCCCCCCGCCCCCCACTAGGCTACCTCAGTTTGACAGACGGGACATGTCATTCTGGACACCAGTTGATGAGCACAGCAGACTTGAGGGCAATGGCAATGCAGGACATAAGTAGGGAGCTACAGAGAAGCTGCCTCCAGCTCCCACTACTCTGCTCTGGGCCTGCTCCCAGCCCCTCCTGGCTTTGCAAGGCCTCTGTGGTATCTTGGCAGAGATCACGGCCTCTGTTGACATGCCTACTCCAACTTCAGGGTTCTACCCCTAATGATCCGGTCATCCTGCCCAGGTCTCCCCTCTCCGTGCCCAACCCTTAGGGCTCTGTTCTCATTCTTGGGGTCCTCTCAAGGCATTCATCAAACTAGAACCCGCTCATGCACTTAATGAGGCTCAGGAGAGGTTTGTAGAAGGAATGAACGAGAGAATTCTAGGGCTGGGGGTGAGGGCAAAGACTGGTCATCAAGAAAAGGATTTCTGTTCCTTATTCTGTGCATTTGCATTTTTATTGATGAGGGGAGGAAATTTTAGCTCCCAGTAATTAGCCACTGGGGAGGGGTTGGAGCAACAGGATGGAACCCTGAATGGCCCCTGCACCCAGACCTGGGCTCTACAGTAGGAAGGACCATGAGGGTGGGCTCTGAGTGTAGCAGACATGGGACAGACCTTCTGGTTGCGGGGCTCTGGGCTGGGCGAGCCTTGGGTTTCACTTGGGAGTAGGGGAGCCACATTCACAGGCTGCTGTGGCCCTCAGAGATGGCGTTACCTATGGATGGCAGGGCAGACACCCAGCTTTAGCATGTTTCATGGGGCACTCATGAGAGAAACCACAGGCCCTTCCTCCAACTGGAAGAGTCATTCCCAGGTTATGTCCCTGAGGCAGGTGCGATTTCCACAGAGGAAGCGGGTGAGGGTCTGCTCTTGTAGGGAGAGATCTCTGGGTCAGAGATGTCCTTGAAATACACTGACCTTGGTACATACAGGGAGGAGAGAGGGCTGGTGATGGCAGAGCCCCTGCCTTGACAGGGACAAAACCTTTCCTATGCTGAGCTCAGGGTCCTACAGTAAGTCTGTGCTGGGGTAGGGGAATGGAGTCTAGGGAAGTGATGTTAGGAGAATGGCTATGAGGACCTGGAGCAGAGGACAGAATGGTAGGCAGGAAGAGCCGGTGTCCTGAATGGGGTGGGGACAGGAAAGGGACTCCCCCAGAGGTACAGTCACAGCCGTAGGCTGGTGATGGCCTGGACTGGAAGGATGGGTAAGAGCTGTAGGGGTAGAAAAGCAGCCCGATCCCTGGACTCACCCAGCACCAGGTTCAAAACCATGACCATCAGGAGTCCTCTCGGAAGCTGCATATTGTCAGGGTGAGGATGAGAATGGTGTCCTGGTTTTTCCTTATACCCATGGCTGCTCCCACCCCCACCCTTCTGAGTCATCTGGAGCCTGGTTGGGCTAGGAGATGGGCCAGGCTTAGGTCACCCTGGGGACCAACCTGGCCCAGAGATTGTGTCACTGTGCCCTCAAGGTCTTCTTCCCCATCCACATGGAGAAGATGTCCCAGTTGTCAGAACTAGGGATATCATGAGGGGCAAGGCCTAGGGTAGTTCTCTCAGTGACTGGGCGAGGGGAGGGGCACAGGCAACCAGCCCAGCCCTTACTCTGCAAGATGCAAATAGAGCCTCCTGTGTGTGGAAAGCCAAAGCCTCCTTCAGCACCTCACCTTAGGGGGAGTCAGGAAACCAGACCTCCAGAAATGGTTAGAACTTTCCATTTGTCAAATGGGCCTTCAGTCCCAGGGAAGCCAAGGAAACTGGGTGCCTGCTGCCTCTCCAGGAAGGTGAGGGAGTGCTGTGCAGGTGGGGGACCATTCTGGTATGGTACTCAGGGGCCCAGAATCCATGAATATTTGCCCAGTGGGACAGGAGAGCTGCCTCTTTCTATTCTTCAAGGTCTTGGGGATAAGGGGGCCCACAAGAGGGGGTAAGAGCTAAAAGGAGCACTGCCAAAACTCAGCAGGGCTGGGGATGGGTAAGAGGCCACTCAGAGAGTCAGCTTACCACTCAGGGGACCTTGTGCTCTCCCTCAATACCATGATATCTCTCTAGTGGGCGCCACAGGGAGAGGGAGACGGAGTTGGTGGGCCAAAGGGAGACAATTTTGAGAAGATTGCAGATTCAGACCCCTCTTCCTAGGAGCTGGAAAAATGGGCTTGGGAACCTGAAAGCTAGAGGACAGTCTGGAAGCAGTGTTTTGAGGTCCTAATTTGTCACCTGACTCCTCTACTCCCAGTCTTCCCCAGGGCTGTCTGCCCCTCAGGGGAAGCTAGGAGGCGTCTATTTCTTGCATCAAAATGAGTGGCTCTCAGCAATCCTGTTTGCCCTTTGTATCTGGCTGGATAAGCAGGACCCAGGCAGCTGAAAGACCAGGGGAGGTGAAAGAGGCCAAGACATAGAAGGAATAGGGTGGATAGCAGTCCAGGGCCCACACGGCTGAGACTGAGTGAGTGTGCACACTAGGAGATAGCAAAGAGGAGTAGACATGTGTATCTGTCCATTTATTCATCCATTTCATGAGGAATGCTCTTGAGGGTTCTCTGAGGTGCTGGGTATACAGTGTGGAAGGGGCTATGGCCTAAGGGTGAAATTTCAGGTCCAGATCAGGGCAAGGGTTAGAGCTTAAAGTTGCATTAGCTGCTGCAGCAAGATGGGTAAAGAAAGCACCTGGACCCCAGAAAATCAGAACAGCATGGCCTCCTGTGTCCATGTCCTAGCTGGGCACAGGCATCTGGGCACAGGTATCTGGGTACAGGCTTGGAGCTGTGATCCTAGGGTACCCAGAGCTGTGGGACTCATGAAGCATGCTCAAGAAGGAATAGTATGGGAAGAAAAGAGTTTCCTCTTTCTATTTTTCAAGTTTGTAAATGAAACGTAAGTGCACTGCAACAAATCAGAGACAAAAGGGAGGTTAAGAAGCTATCTGTCTGCCTTCCCTTCGTGGGGCCCAGGGAAACTGGCCATAGGTGTCCTTAGCAGGAGAGGGACCTGCTGCACAGGGCATTCACAGCTGGCTGCACCTCCAGGTCAACACCTCAGTGCTAGTTTCTTCTTCCTGTCTCTGTCACATCCTATGGAAAGTATGTACCACTCCATGATGCTACAGAGCATCAGGAAGCCCCTCTTGAGAGGAAAGAACCCTGGGTGACCAATCATATTGAGATTCTTTCTTGCTGCACCTTGAGTAGGAATGGTCACTGACTGGGTCAAAGCACTGGGGCCCCAGGGAAGGGCCAGCCTCATGGTGCCTGATATTCCTTTGCCTTTTTCTCTGTCCCTCCACCTCATGTCTCTTTCATTGCATTCAGACAGGACTGGATGCCTGACTCTTGACTCTAATCCTGGTCTCCTGAGGCTTCTGGTTTGGATTTCCTCCCTAAGCTTTCCAGTTCTAGAAAAGGCTAACATGTTAAGATTTTTTGAAGGGGATGCAGAGCCCCAGTGAACTGAAGCTGGTGGGAAAGAAACCCTGCATAGTAAGTGGGGTGAGAGTGAGCAGGGAGCCAGTTGGCCTGGGGTAACTAACAACTTATCTCTCTTTGCCTTGGTATTTCCACTGGTAAAGGAGCATAACTTCTGTCCCCAGCTTGCAGGCTGCCCTGGAGCACTTACAGTTATGAGTAGTGGGAGTAAGTGGGTGTTGGTCACACCACCCTGGACAAGACCAGATAGCCAATACCACTGCCCCAGTTTCCCTAAACTGCAGTGGCATCATCTTACACTAATTGAGCACCTGCTGTGTTGGGCTGCTGACAAGACCAAGGACAGACCAGCCAAGCAGCATACTGTCCTAGAGAATCCCGGGCTAAGGACAGCATGGTTGCTGTGGCACCTAGATGGGTGTCTCCAATACCCTGAGACCACAGGTGAGCTGGCATCCCACTGAGACAAAAGGAAGGTCAAACGTGGGGCCCTCTCAGCTCTGGCTGAGGACGTTGCTTGTGTAATGGACTTGCACAAGCAAGGTGATAACAGTTCCTCAGTCATCTCCCATTGACTCAGGGCCTCATCTGGCCCCTCCCAGCAGGACCTGGGCTTGTACTGGCTACCGCGCATTCTGTACTTGTCCTTTCTCCTCTCCTGTCCTTGTGTGAATTCTGATTTCCTCTGGCAAGTGAAATGTACCCTCACTAGGGGCCTTCCATTTCACCTTTCACCCCCAAACCAGTCCTTCAAGGGAAAAACTGTGACAGGAGAGTACCCTCAGTCCCAGGAACAGAGCTCCAGGTCTGTACAAGGTTAGGGAAGGGAGCCCATTCTGGGCATAGCTCCAAGCAGCTCTCAGGGTACAACATCCAGCAGGGGTCTTATAAGAGGGGTATGTTTTGGGACAGGGACAATTCCACAAGAAAACTAGTGCTATCCTATCCTCCTGGGTGGGCCAGCTTGAGGGGTCCCTCATCCAGCACCAGAACAGGGGCACTATCAGTGAAGAGGACATACTGTAGCTCATAGGGGGAGGCAAGCCCTCCCTGGGCCACCTACATTCAGATGGTGGTGTTAGGCAGAACTGTGCCTCCTAAATCTGCTCTGGAGTTTTATTCTTAGGGAGTAACTAATGAATGCTTAGAGAAGTGGAGTGCTTTAGCCCAGGGGAGACCTCAAGCCTTCCCTGTAGACTTCATCAAGGTGAAAGGGGCCCATGGGACTCCAGGCAAACAGTGCAGATGTGGGCTGGATACTTGTACACTTATTCTGCTGGGGTTGATCTAGGGATCTATGAATAGAGCTAAGTGCAGCCTGCAAGAAGTAGGCAGTGATCTTAGATTGGCATGCCATTCCCGTGCCTTGTCCCTGCTGGCAGCTAGTCTTACCCTGTCCCTCTCCTGACACCTGACACAGGGACATTCCCTCCCCTTCTCCTGCAGGACTTGCTGTGCTGTCCTGCCCAGAATAATCTGACTTTCATTGGTGTACAGGGTGGACCAAATATAGCAGCACCTCTGGCTTGCACTCAGGGTGGGGGCAGGGGTGGAGAAGTCAGCAGGTCTGGCTGAGCAAGATGGCCTCCTTCCTGCACCTAGGATGGCTTTTGAGGCAGGAGGGGCCCTCAGGGGCCTGCTGAAGTAGAGTCATACTAAGTCAAGAGCTGATGTGACTCCAGGTCTGGCCCTCTTTCTGGGACAGGTGTGGTGATAAAGGTCTCCATAAGTGGTCTCATCCCATACCTGGATTGGACAGCTGCAGGCTTCAGGAGGAAGCAGAGAAGTCCTGCTAGATCCTGCTTACCCACCAGCAGATTCCTAATCTCCCCTTCCCCTCCAGCACACTCATCACCTACTTTGTAGATTGCAGCAGGTTCTTGCTGCACAGTTTCCTATTCAGTAAGAGTTCCCGGGCTAACTGACTGCACCTGCAGAAGTAGTTCCAGATTCCCCTGCCTGTGATGAGGATCCCAGTCTGCCCACCAAGGTCAGGCCCCCTGGAGAGGTCCAGTCCCACATACTAGCCCTCTAACAGCTTTGGAGTGAGGCCTTGTGGGTGGCTGGAGGGTAGGAGTGCTACAGATAACCCTGGGCCCTGACACAGTTGAGGGATTTCAGACAGCTGAGAGTAGGGGAAGGTATGCAGTGTGAAAAGGTGAAACTGTCCAAGGCTTGTCTTTGAGCAGGTCTTCCTGGGGGAGCAGGGCTTAAATCAGACTCCAGATGGTAGCCAGAAGAATGGGGGCGAAGACCAGGGCACCCGGGACAGCGAGGCCAGCAACATTGCAGAGGTCATATTGGCAGCAGGAAGTGGTAGATGCATGCTTGGAGTAGCCATCATACACAGTCTCGAAGCAGCTGGGCACGCATGACTTGCTCACCTTCATTCTGTATGGAGTATAGTCTGCAGAGGACAGATGGGGGGGTGGGCAAGAAGACTGCCCTCAGAGAGATGGATTCCCAACTGGCCTAAAGCCAGCATGCAGGGCCATTAGGGCTGGTCCTCTTTTCAAGGGTTCCCAGGAAGAACCCTGGGGCATGTAGGACCCTCCCTCTTATACCAACATATTCCTGAGCAGGGGCCAACAGACTCACAGGTACGCGTGGTCATGCAGTATCTAACCATGGCTGGGCAGCGCATGGGGTTGAAGCAGTTGTCTCCATTGTAGGCACAGACGTGGCATTCCAGGGCCTGGGCTGAGGACAAGGTGCAGGGTCACAGAAGAGGGAGAACCCCTTTCTCCAGCCCATGACCCTCCCCAGGGCAGGGAAGTCAAAAGGCGAGGGTGTCGTGGGGAATTCTGGTCAGCCTCCCGACTTTGAGGCCTTTCTAAATTGGTCCTGTCCACCACTCTGACTTCTGTCCACTCACCCAGAGGCAGGCCCGCCAGGGCCACGAAGAACAGGGTGAACAGGGCTGCCATGAGTGGAGGTGAGAGAGCTTGTGGATATTTGGATCCAGCTTAGTTGGGTCAGGTGCAATGTACTGAGGGTCTGGAGCCCCTCCCTGCCCCTCCAGAGCTCCTGGTCTGTGGGAGATTCAGCAGTTCTGCAGAAGGCGACAAAGACAATTGGTCAGTGCAGGACCTGGGCAGGCAGCAGGTCCAGCTGGGCCACCAACTCTGTGAGTGTCAAGGAAGGTGTGGAAATGAGAGGAGGAATAAGCAGAGGCCAGAGCTTCCAACAGGTGCCCAGCATCCACAAAAGTCAAGAGGCCAGTGCAGATTGAAGGGTGATGGTCAGTGCCATCGAGGGGCGACCTGGGAAGTGGGAAAGATCTGAATGCCAGGCCCAAACCAGGCCTTTGTAGGGGGTGGAGGTTTGGGGGGGGGTGAGTGTGTGGCGGGGTGGAGGAGGTGTTACCGTGTGCTCGGGCCACAGGAGGGGCACACAGACTCCTCCCCTCCAAGCAGGCCGGTGAGGGGGCTAGACAGGGCCTGACTGCGCACCAGACCCGGTTCTCTTCTGGCAGCTCTGGGGTGTCCCTCTTTGGGGACCCTCTCCCACCCAGCAAGATTTCTGGAGCACTGCACCGGTTCCTCAGGCCTGCATCTGCCCGCTGCCGGCAGCGAGGAGATGCATTCCGAAGGCGGCTGCGCAAGGCGGAGGATGATTCCTTAGGCAGGGTTTCGCGTTTGCATTTGAGATGTCCGCTCTTTGGTAAGGGGTTTTGGGGATCTGGACGACTGCCTCTGCCCTGCCGCCATATTCGTGCCAGTCCCCGCCCGGGGAACCAAATTAGACTCTCCAGAAAACAACGTCTTCCTTGACCAATTTCCCAGGCACCAACCTGGGACGCTCAGAATCCGACTCAGGTCTCAGGACTGCGGCTCCAGTGCTTCCCGCCCTCCCTGGCAGCCCCGCCCCAGAAACTGCAGTCTCGGCCCAGGGAAGGCTCCGGGCGCCGGCGAGGTGACCTTCACGACCACCAGCCCCCGCTGGCCGCCCAAGTACTCACCGCAGCGATTTCCCAGGTCCACTCTCGATCTAACGGTGTGTCGGTCCGCGATTCCCGCAGCACCCACCCAGCATTGCTACAGCTAAGGCCGGGGCCTCCGCAGGCGCCGCCCCGGCTCGCGCTCGGTTCCACCCCCACCCATAAAACTCACTGCAGGCCACGCCCGGACCAGTCCTGGAAGTAGCCGCCTAGTCTCTAGCTCAATGCAGATAGCATCCCTCTGCTGGGGCACGCAGCAGACCCCGCCCTCGCCCCGCCCTCGCCCCGCCCCGCCCCGTCGCCCCCAGCTGTATTAGTTCACCGAAGGTCGGGTCCCTGCCCTGTTCCCCCCATCGCGGTCACAGTCTCGGTCCTCTCTGAGGCCGTTCCCCTCCCACTCCTCGTCTTTGTCACCCGAGGTGATCGCCTAGCAGGCTCCTGCCAGGCTCTCTGGGTTGGATGGGAGACTGCGACAGTGGCTCAGAAATCCCCCAGCCTGGCATCACATCCTCGCACTTCTCAGGTGCGCGCGCAATGCCCGAACGCTTGTCACCTGGGCCCGCTACAGTCGGCCTACTGAGACTTTCCCGCCCCTGCGCAAACCTCCAAGCTCTGCGGGTTCCAAGTGAGCGCGCTATGTGCGCCTCGGTCCCAAGAGGACTCCGCCCACGGTGCTCCTGTGGCGTCCTGGGAGGGGAGGTATCTCCCCGATTCTCATGGCCCTCTCGCCTTCGCGGCTCCAATTTCAGATAATTATTTTTATATAACTTTAAATATTTTGCTTTATTTTTAAAATTCTGTTTTAGGCAAAATTTGATGGATTTTCATGGGCCCTAAAAATGGTTTTACCCTTTAAAAATGGACTCTGAGTAATAAAATCCTTTAGTCTGGGCAAAACAGATGAGTTGGTCAATGTCTTCGCCAAATAGTCCTGTCCCAAATGTCCCAGGAACCAGGGAGAGGGCAAGAGATAGAACTTCCTGACTGAGGGTGGCGAGTATCCCTGTCCTGGGGAGTCACACCCACTGGAGGTGTACAGTCCAGGAGAAGTCAGACTGGGTCCCGGCTCCGGCATCTTTTGAGAGAAAATTGATGGAACTGCATTTACTACCTTGTCTGTAATAACTGAAAAATAGATAAAGTATACGAAATACTATTTTACTCATCATCATATTTATTGTATTTATTTATTGCACTTATACAATTTATGATTAGTATTTGATTTGTTATTATAAGCCAGATGTGATTCCACAGGCAACACAGGGCAGTGACCCTTGGGTGACCAGGGACAGAGGAGGGGAACTGCAAGACATAGCACAGACAGCAACCCAATAGTGCTCTGTGTGGACCCATCTCTGTCTGCTCACAGCCACCTTGAGTTGTAACTGCTAAGACCATCCTTGTGTAGCTATGGTTTCCCAGAAGACCATAAATACACAAACCCACCAGAATGGTGTGTGGAGTTTTCCAGCTGAATCCTAGCTCCCTGTGTGCCAGGACTTGGTTGATGTTCTTGAGGGATAAACCGGGCATGGCAGGATCCAAGTGATGTTTCTCCTGACCAATACATGTGCCCCTCCATCTGACATAAATCATGGATCCACTGACTTGCTGCTTCCCAGGACCATGCTTCCATCACTAAATCACCACTAAGTTGCACTCCGCAATCCAGGATCTGTATGCATTTCTTTAGTCTCAGCTATCTCAGCCTTTTCATCCATGTAGCTGGGCTCTTTCTGGAACAGTTTAAATTTCCCACTTAAGGAGGTTAGGGAGCTCAGACAGGGCATGATGCTGGAAACCATCGGGCAAGAGTGCGGAAGAGAAGAGAGCTAGGGAGCTAGGCAGAAGGCTTCCCTGAATCTTCAACTTTGTTCCTATTAGTGCCTGAGTTTGGAAAACCTATTGGAAGACAGGCCAAGCAACAAAAAGAGCTGGCACAAAATCTACAGTGCAGGCATGGGGCAGGGGACCCATCTGTGGGCTTGTGAGACAAAACCACTTGGGCCATCATTGGTGCGGTCAGCAACTTTGGGGTCAAATCAGTCCTATATAGTCCTAGGCCACACTAGCTCCAAATAACAAAGCTAAAAGCAAGCCTCCAAAATACATAATTTCCTCAAGTAATTATATCCTGGAACAAAACTCAAAATTATTTTTAAAAATCCATTGCACAACAATATAAAATTCATCTGATGATATACCTGACATCAGTTAAATGCCTCTAGCCAACCAAAGAAACAGAATACTCACTTGACCCACAATGGGGGAAAATGTACTTTTGAAACCCAAAAATGACCCCGCTGAAATGATAGGAGGCCAAGGGATTGAGAAAGATACTATGTTTTGTATGTTCTAGAAGGGACATAGCATGCACATAGAAGGCTTTTTTAAAAAATGAAAATGAGCTTCTGAACATGGAAAATAAAAAAAATGAAAATACACACTGGAGAAAAAGGCACTCTATGGCATTGTTGATGGGACTGTAAACTAATACAACCACTATGGAAATCATTGTAATTCCTTAAAAAACTACAAATAAGAATTCCATTTGACTCAGCTATCCACTTTCCAGGCATCTTCCCAAAAGGGTTAAAATCATCATATTACAGGGTTACATGCATATCTGTGTTTATAGCAACACAATTTATAATAGCTAGATCTTAGAAACAGCATCTATGGTCATCAGTAGATGTGATATTTATACATAATGAAGTACTATGCTGCCATTAAGAAAGATAAATTGAGTCATTTGCCAGTAAATGGATGCAACTTGAGAACATAATGTTAAGCAAAATAAATTGGGCATACACGCCAAATATATGATTTTTCTTATATGAGAAACTATCTAAGTATCTATATTCAAACAAATTGCAAAATAGAAGCGAGATAAGTAGGAAGTAGGGAGAAGTTCAAATAATTGCCCAAATTGCATATTCAATTATTTTAAAAATATTTCAATATATATGCTAATTTTTTATAGGAAGTTTGTCTTGTTGAACAGAAACTTTGTGTTATTATCTGTTTATTTCTTTTTTGTATGACTCTTTTTGGCTTGTGTCTTGTTCTAAGTAATCGCTTTGAAGCTAATGATATTATTATCTCATTATTTGGTTATGAAAATTTGTTTTATTTTTTCATAAAATAAAAAGGATATACACTGAGGGGGATTAACAACAGATTACATTGCAGAAGAATGTTCAGTGAATGTGAAGACACATTTTAGTACTACTAAAAAATAATCACAGAAGGAAAAGTTTGAGAAGATTGAATGGAAGACCAGGGAGCTGTGGGAAACTTTAAATTGTGAAACTGAAGCCCCAGAGGAAAAGGTGAAAGTAAAGAAAAAGATAACCAGGAAAACAATGACCCAAACAGGCTCAAATTTGATACCTTAAACTCATGGGACCCAGAAGTGTAATGAACCTTGAGGCATTAGAAATATGGGGGCCTAGTGTTACACCAAAGCTCATTGTAATCAAATCGGTTAAAACTAGTGATAAGGTAGAAAACCATCTAAAAACCCACAGTTTGTATGGAGGGTCAAAGATAAGAATCACCAAGATTTGTTTCAGAAACAATAAGGATTGACACCTTGGAGTCTAAAATACTAGTCAAGTAACTAAACCTGCCCAAACACTGAGTCAGACAAACAGAAATCATACTTTGTCGGTGTCACTCCCGGCCGGCAGGAAGGACACACAACAAAGTCTGGCAGTGGACAACCTTTTCTTTTATTTTCCTTCTCCGTACAGCCTGCCCGGGAATCCTCCCGGCCGAAGCCTCTGTTGGTCCGCTCCCCGCGGCTCCTTGCATGCTTCTCCCTACAGTCTGTCCCGAAGCCTCTACCGGTCCGCTCTCCGCGGCTCCTTGCGTGCTTCTTCTGCTTCTTTTGCTTCTTCTTCTTTTTCTTGGCGGGAGAGGCACTCACTTTTATAGGGTTCAGTTGTTGCTAGGCAGACTATCTTACAGGGCGGGTTGTGAAGCAGGAGATCTTACAGGGCGGGTTGTTTACCAAGCAGGAAGCAGGAGATCTTACAGGGCGGGTTGTTTACCAAGCAGGAAGCAGGAGATCTTACAGGGCGGGTTGTTTACCAAGCAGGAAGCAGGAGATAAGCGCCATCTTAGCACACTCGATGGGAGGGGTAATCTAGCTCAGGCTTTGCTCTTTCCTACAGGCCTCACGTCCGCCAAGTAAGGCGACCGGGCTCGGCCGCGGCTCCCAACAATACTTCTCAGTTTAGAATGATCACCCTGCAAAAATGTCTTTGAAAATGAAGGTGAAATAAAAAGTTTCAGGAATAACAAGTCAAAAACCTTTCTTCATCTGAAAGCAGGTTAAAGGAAGCGACAGCCCAGGGAAACATGGGTCTACACAGAGCAGTCCAAAGCATCAGAAATGCAAGGCATCAGGTAGTGTCTCCAAGTTGTAAATCATTTTAGAAGGTTATTGGAAGCAGAGGCAGTAATAATTATTATGGAACTTTCAGCAAATTGGAAGAATATATGATAATAACACCACAGGAGACCAGGACAGAAAAAAATGGAAGCACACTGCCATGAGTTTATTATACTGGGTAGGAAACGGTGAAGCTCTCCTGTTTTCTTTTCTTCTTTTCCTTTTTCCTCTTCTCTTTGCTTCTTTCTCTTCCCTGTTCTCCTCTGTTCCTGTCTCCCACCCTCTTTTCTTTTCTCTCTTTCCTTCCTTTCTTCTTTGCTTGCTTCCTTTCTGCTTCCTTCCTGCTTTTTTGAAGGGATCTCTTGCCCAGGCTGGCCTCTGACTCCCTGTTATAAGTAATACTCCTGCCTCAACCCCCAGAGTTGCTGGGATTACAGATGTACATCACCATACTAGGCTTGATAAATCTTTGTCAAGGGTAGAATACAATAAGTTGAGGATAAGTAGTACAACACTAAAGTAATGAGTAAAAGAATAAAAAGAAAGAGAAAAGTCAGCATCTCCTGAGAATCAGCCATGCTGGGTCTTGGAGGCCCAACCAAGAAATCAACTAGTCAGGCTGTCTGGTAAGCCCTGCAAGCTGCGTGCATTCCAGGGAGAGAAAAGATAGCACCTTCTGTGAACCTACTGGCACATGGGCTGAGACTCAAACACCATCTATTACCCTCCCCCTCCTCAGCAACTGGATGATTTCGAGGACAGACTAAATTGATAGCAACTAAAGTACATAAAGCAACTAAATGCTTGTATAGTTTGGTTGATTTTG